GATGCCGCGAACTCATCTTAATTCTCCCAGATATTACAGTTCCCCCGATCTCGCAATGGTTGCAGTCTCTGATGCCTATGCCAGAAATTGAATCAGATACGGAAAAATCTGGCTCAGACTCGGAAGAAGAATATTAAAACTAACTAGACAGCAACCCAGCAACCAACACACCATGGCAGGCCACGCAACTCCGTTCCTACCGATGGGCCAGGGCACGTGGCAGTGCAACTAACCAAACGACTCAACCGGCACGTTATGGGGGAGGATGCATCGCGCGAATGACAACTTTATCGAACTCTCGATCCCCCCCCCCCCCTTTCTGATCCTTATCTCTGACAACTGGGGAACTATAGCACCGGCACAATGCTATGGTGACTAGATATGCCGATTGACCTGAAATGTTGATGAGAGCCGCTACAGCGAACGACTGAGGTATCGAGGGCCTCAACGACATTTGATCGATCCCCCGGGACGCCACGCCCACCTGCGCCCCCCCTCGCTACAAGACCACTGTGCACAGTGACCGATACACAGCTATCAGAGCCCGACAAACATCACGATACCGGGCCTCCACCGCCGCACGATAGAGATGGAAGTAGGAGTACTCACAGGCGGGGGACAGGTAGGGGTGGCGGCGGCGGCGTACACGCATGTAAGAGCTACACGCATGTAAGATAGCATGCGCAAGACGGAAAGCTGACAACTGGCGAATTTATGAGGACATACTGGTGCAAACTGGTGCAAATGGATGACATGTATCGCATTTTCTGTATATAAATCACCTTAGTGGCGAGCTTTGGCTGCCGTCAGCGATACCGGAAGAGCCCTACGGGAGCTGATAAACGGTGTATAATGCAACTCTCTCTCTCTCTCTCTCGAAACATATTTCGAATATCTTAACTATATTCACATCCATCCAAAACATCAATCATCATCATAGTAGCCTAAGACTATTAGCCGAGTTAGTTAAGATTAAGTAGCAATTAAAGGAGTAATTTTTCAAACTACCCCTTAAGCGTTTTTGACATAATATTAGGGTCATCACCAAGTACCTTCTACACGCCACACCTCAGCCTAGGGATCCTCGGAATAAGTTGCTTAATTAAGATTGGGAAATTTTTCTTCACATCCCCGCGATCCCCTTCCCCTCTTTTAAAGAATAAATTAGCACCTAGATAGTTAGTGTCCTTAAGCGACCCTACCACAGTTCGAGAAATTATAGATTTTCCTGTCCCAGCTATACCTTTTAACCAGAAAATACTCTTTTAGGATATTAATATAGCCTATCCTATTATCTACTAGAGAAGCTTGATTCTAGTCCCTTAGAGATATTAGACTTTATCTCAATTGATAACCAATTCAAACCCTACCTCTATCACGCCTTCTAACTTCATAAGACCCATAATTTAATTCATACAATTAGTATTCTAGACCACACTAACTATTAGAGCACTACACAGAAACCAAATCAGCAAAAGGAGTTATAAAGTTTTGCTTGATAAATATATATCTGATCCACCTACAGAGATAAAAGGAATAAAGTTTTATACGACTCAAGATTCCGAATATTATCTTCCACTTTTATACGCTTCAAGGGCCACTTCAAGGCTCATAGTCCAACTTTCTTTATTAGCCTTTTTCCCTTCCCTAAATGAAATTTCGCTTCTAAGACCTGTAGGTTGGAGAGGCAATCAGTAATATTACTGGCTAGTCAAGAGGTTAGTAGGGCCATTCCATTATTGCTTTAGAGCAAATTAAGTAGGTCTTGCAGTGTGCCTGGGAGGCCTGTGATAGCCTGCTTTAGGGTGAAAATTTCGTCCCGTACATCTTTGACCTCTCAAATATAGCCTCCGCAAAGCTTCACAAGGCTTCCTATCAGTTTAATAACCGCGATGACGCTTATCGCCAAGGATAGAACATACATTTATAAGAACACGGTATCAACACGTCTATTCCGCAGTAGGTAGGTAAACTGGCGACTGTTGTGTAAAATTCAGGATAGGTGATATTACGCCAGGCATTTCTAGAGAGATAAAGAGAGTTAAGTTAACATGAGGGTAGGCTGTCATCCACAAGGCAGGTAGGGGGTACAGGATTGGCTAGAACTCATTAACGGCTCGATAGTCAGCCCGAACCAACCCAGACAACTTATTGCCTTGCACCTTTGGCCACCTCATCAAGTTTAGGTGACAGCGCAACAAAAACCATCATGGCGCCTCAACTCACCCTCTCCCAGCTTGTGATAATTCGTGATATAATTGACAGTAAATCACTGACTACTTCAGAGTCGGCCGAAGCGGCTAGCTAAAGCAAACATCCGGTCATAACCATCGGTAACAACCTCCGAATATTCGGCGATGTCCAAGCTCCCTTGATCCCTGGTGGCTTTCCTCATATGATTACGCCCGTTATACTCAAAGCGCTATGTAGCCACTTGCTAGAGAAACTAGATTTACACTTAGACGAAATAGCAGACTTTTATATGACGAATTTGAACTGCTCATATCTACATTCACTATTGGCCGGCCCCTTCGATCACAGGGTTGGACCAAAAAAGTAGCACAACGAATAGCACAGGAGCGAAATCCGGATTTAAGAGACTATTTTTCTGTTTCAGCTTTCCGATTTCCGCTCGTACTACCTGGTCTTCATAGATGAATTAGGATGTGTGATAGACGGGTAGCTTCAGGAGGGCCAGCTAGTCTCCACGTAGGGTGTCAGCGGTCCAATTTACCGGTTCCAGCGCAGCCAGCGGTATCAGATTCTTCCAGCATATTGCCAAAATAGCATTTTGATGTCGCGAATTTTCCAGGAATCAACAAACACAAGATACTGTACTTTCCGCCACACTCATCCCAGCTAAATCTTATCAAAGAGTTCTTAATAGAGCTCAAAGCGTTCGTAAGACGGAACTGGCAACATCGTAGAGGTCAATATTTCAAAGATTTTCTTAAATAGAGTTTGGATGTCGTCGGAGGCGAATATTATAGTAGAAGAGGAATCAAATTAGAAATACATACCGAGGGACAAGCCTTTAAATACTATATAGCTCAGGGGGCTCTATTGTCATCAAATTCGTGTACTGTAGAAGATAACATACCATAACGTGCACAAAACCAAGACCAGAGGCTCTACTGATAAACCTTAGCAGCGAAAGCAACTTATGTCTGTCCTCTATACCCAGAAAGTTACAAGCCATTTGCGCTCCACAATCCGTAGCTGAATTAGGCTAAGTGAAATAATCATAATAGAATATACACTTGATCATTTCGCTACACCCAATTTCTAAACAGCTTGGCAGTGGGGCCTAGAAAGAGTAATAAGTGTCAGTTGAATAATTTATCTTTACTTATTGGTCTATCTAAAAATAGTTTTGAGTTTTCTTTAGATTTTTAAATCCCTTTTTAGAATAAAAGATTACTAATTTTAAGTAAGAGATATTAGTATTAAAAAAATTATATCTTTATTTTAACTTTTATCTTTCAATTAAAATCTTATTTACTTAATTTAGAATAATCACTCGTATAATAGATATAGATATTTCCTTTTCTAATCTTATAGATTTTTGGTCTTCTTTTATCTTTTAAATTTATATCTCAAGAGTATTTCTCTATAAAATATCAAACTTCCTAAACCAGAATATCTAGAGATAGATTTTGTTAGATGAAAAGATTATTATAAAACTTATATCAAAGAGAATAGATTTTAATTAAAACTAATTACTTTGTTTTATATCATATATAGTAATTTAATAATATTTTAATAAACTACTAATTTAGAATTAATATATATATAGGATTTATATAGGATTTATATAATGGTCAAGTCAAATAATTTAACATAAATTCTCCTTACTTCTCCTTGTTTCTGCTTGTTTCCTATAAGAATGAGTCTCTATATATTTCATATTTTATTATTAAATTAAACTATCTTTGTGTACTCTTTAAAATCTTACCTAGTTACAGGTCTCTAGCCTGTCCCTTAGTACCTACAGTAGGGGGCCAAAAAACTCGTCCATATCCACAATTACATAATGTTCTGCCTATCCTGGCTTGGTGTAAAGGTCAAGATATTGACTAGGCAAGGCAAGGATGGCACGACCGAAAGGGACCGTATATTCAGGATTGAAACAAAACTAATTCTTCAAGAACCCTAAGTACTCTCTATCACAAAGGTTTCATATCTCTTCCAATCCCGATTCCCTTCACTCACGAAGCGGTGTAATCGGAATAGTGTACTCCGTGATTGACACCGCCAATTCGTATCGAATCTGACCTATTTCAACATGATCTAAGGTTCTCCCCGTTACACTTAGAGGATACAAATCATAGGCTGTTGATGTAGCACTAGGACGTAATTAGTCAGCTTGATAGCGGTGAGAAAGTGGAGATAGACGAGATATATTGGTCTCCCACTGTATCACACTATCATACTTAGAATTATAAGAAAACTATCTTACTCTTTCTTCTTAATATTTTCGATACATATAATAATATGTTATGCAAGTATTTTTTTCTATGATTTGTATATGATAATACTATAATCTTCTATACTAGGGCTATGTTTGAGGCTAAGCCATGGATTCCCTTCAACTTCTGTGGCGCTCTCAATCCTCCGGTCAACATCTACCAACCTACACTGCCACATTCCAGGAAATTATTACGTCACCTTTCTAGCGCAGAGATTAAAGACCTAAGAGCCAAGATCGTTAGATCACGCCACCACAGACAGGGGTAGGGTTACATTGTGGATAGGACTCACTATCCACAACAAGTTTAGTCCTGGCCCGGGAATATGGGGGCCTTAAATATGGGGGCCTTATTTATGGGGGCTATATACATTGGCTTTCTTCCCCTCGGAGGAAGAGTTAATAGTAGCAACAACTCACGTTTTCTCTCTCTCGCTTTTTCCGATCTGGTCTGGTCTGGTCTGGTCTTATTGTCGCGCCAACTTCTACATTCTTGGCATAGCTGTTCAAGGTATCAACTGAATCCGCCACCATGCCCGCTCAAATAATAATAATCAACTACACCCCTGAGGGCCGCCTCTCCCTCCTGGACGCGAGCACAAAGCAACCCCTCTACCACGTAAAAGTTAGCCGACAGGCGCCGCAAATGGAAATGATCCGTCTGACGGGTCCCAGCGAGGGGGCCCCTAACCACTCCTTCCCTGAAGACACAAACGCCTACTTTGAGTCCCGAGTCTGCACAGCTCAATTTAAGCTGACAAGCCTTGACGTGAAATTGGGTATCCGTAAGCAACTCGATGTAGAGTTGAAGAGGAAGAAGATCCTCTCTACGAGTTACTCGTTTATTTCACCGTCGCTTTCTGTCGGGTCTCCGGTGACTTTGATTTGGGAGACTGACTCAGAGAATAATGCGGTCGGCAATTTCAAGTTATCCGTTGAGGGTGAGGGGAAGGTGATTGTTCGCTTTCGTAACGAGGCCTTTTCAAACGAGCGCGTTGGGACTTTTGAGGTGGAGAGTGATGGGCTCGATCAGCTGGTCAAGGATGAGGCTGTTATCTCTGGCCTGGCAATGCTGGCTATGAATCAGAGTTTCCATCTTGCTAGCATGGTCATGTTCAAAGGATCCTGATTTGGCTTTCTTGCCGCTGTTTTCATGGGTTTGCTTTCTTGATGTTCCATAATCTGGTCTCTCACGTTCTCGATGTACTGCACTCTATACCTCGCTATCCGAACCTAGATCTAGTCCACAACTTGAATTTATATTCACCAAAGGAGACTACTCCAATGACGCTATCCCTATATTGAGCTAGCTTGAAGAAAAGGCTCTAAATAACAAAATGACCAATAAATTAAATTACCAACAAACTCGAAATCAAGTAGACATGGAGAGTTCGGTAAAAATACCCAAACCCCTTATATTTTTTCTTTCTTCTTCTTCTGCCTCTTGTTGTTGTTGTTGTCTTCCCCCCCCCCTTCATTTTTCTTCTGCGTTTCCAATTTCGAAGTAAGCAAAGTAAAGAAAGAAATAGAAATCAAATCAAACAAACAAGCATAGGAAATACATAGGGACGAAAAAGTCAATCAATAATCAAAAATTAAACTGCACTGTCACCTCATCAAGCAACAAATCAAGAGAGATATTCTCATCATCAATCAGTATAGATAGTCCGACAGAATCACTCGAAGTATTATCGTCCCCACTAATATATTGGCTGACCTTTGCGACTTGGGCAATTATAGCCGCCTGGAAAGGCTCAGTCACCTAGAAGAAATACCTGTCTCATAAGCGGCATTGACCAGGTATATGGCTGTGATGAAATCACCTCTGAGCTAGACGAAGGGATCTGTGACCCCGATAAAGTGGCCGGGAAGGTTGAGGGCCTGGCTCCAGAGACTATAGAGGCGGTATTCGAGTGATATAGAGGGCAGCCGTTTGAAAGTTTCCTAGGCGAGGCGGTACGAGGTAAAAGCTTCAATAGAGGCGTCGTCGAGAAGACGACGGAGCTTGCTACGGTCAGCTTTTATGGAGAGGTTAAGGGGCAGATCGCGGAGAGACACAAAGAGCGATGGGACCATACAAGCCGGCATGGCATGTGTAAGAAATTTGAGGTTGTCCACCAAGGTCGAGCGCATACTCTTCGTCACCAGCAGTAAGAGCTCATTTGGAGACTCTTGTTCGACCGAAATATGCTTCGAGAAGCAGAAAAAAGCGGCCAGCGTACAATCAACTCGGCCTGGTTGCGAAATGAGTTCCACAGCTACTTGATGTTGGGGATCAGTGATTTGATCTGCGTTTCGATTTCGCCCAGCTCAATGCGGTGCCCGTGAACTTTGACCGAATCTTTATGGCCGAGATATTGGAGAGTGCCGTTGGCGTGGTAGTGGATGAGATCGCCGGTATTGTAAAAGCGTCTCGCCCTGGCGGGGAGCTCTTTATCATTGGCCCAGACAAGGTTCTTGACAAACACTGTATTCGTCTTGATAGGGTCATTCAGGTATCCACGAGACACTAGCGGGCCCTCGATAAGTAGTTTACTGATGTATCTAAGTGGGATAAGATAGTAATAGTTGTTTGGATATACTACCTTTAGCCTATAGCTGGTTAGTATTCTGATATTAGTAAACTTGTGAGTGCATTTAGATAGTTTAGTATTATAGATATAGTGGATTAATGCCTTGGTAGGACTGTAGTACTTGGTAAGTATCAGGATTCTGTACGATGAACTGTAGGCTTTCTGATTACCTGCCTTATCACTAAACATTAATATATTTAACAACACCACATCGGATGGCTTAAACATAGAATATATAGTCAGGGTAAGGGTTATGGCGGTGACCTGTTACTCGCGTACCTCTCCTAACAGGTTATTGGCTCATTGTGTATCCGATGGGATTCAGATACAAGCGCCGTAGATGAGCGAGGTGTAGATCTCTTGGATACTAAGATCAAACACATACGCTGAGAACCGTAGGACTCAGTCTGCAGGTCCGATATGAAGAACGTTGCCATGTGAATCATTGTCCAGATCATCAACACCAAAGCCTTGATCCTTACAAGCAATGATGTGCTTTGCCAGTCCATCTGCTTAGCCGCTGCCTTTGCTGCACCCTGTCTTCAACAGTTTTCGAAGCTCAATGTCGTCACTTCTTAGCATCGTCGTCTAGCGCCTTGTTCAACTCTTTCTGGTAGTCCTCTTGGGCCTTTCTCAGATCCTTCTGCAAGTCTTCCATGTCTTTCCGCAGATCCTTCATCTTATGATGAGAAGGACCCTGCTGCATATGCTGGGAAACGCGGTTGATCTTGTCCTGGAGCTCTTCAACCTCCTCTTGTCTTTTCAACACTGACTTTTTATTGTGATGCAGCTGATTCAGTGGATAGAATTGACTTGGCGGATATCCCATCTGCGGGGGATATGGTTGATATGGACCCGCTTGCGGATATGGTTGCTGAGGGAATTGCTGCGGGTAGGCACCGCTCTGGGGAGGAAAGTTCTGTCCACTCTGATTCTGGTGCTTCTTGTAGGCATCTTGAGCAATGGAACCAGCAATCGCACCACCGATGGTTCCGAGGAAGCCGTGGTTAGCCTTGTGGCCAGCGAAACCACCGACAGCACCACCGGCAAGGGCACCGGCAAGACCACGCTCACCATCCTGTGCCTCACCAGAGGCGGTCTGCTGCTGTTGCTCGTTGTAAGACTGTGGGTATTGAGACTGAGGGTACTGATTCTGAGGTTCTGGGTACTGTTGCGGATATGATTGCTGATACCCTTGGGGAGGGCCCTGGGGAGGTGGAGGCCCAGTGTAGCCATACCCGTTTTGAGGGGGGGTTCCATAGTACTCCGAATTCATTATTGCTAGTAGAGATCGAGAAGATTCAAGGTAAAGTGTTGAAAAGAAATGGATGCAGAGAGTATTCCAATTTACCACCCAGCTGGGGAGCAACAACCTTTAAATATTCAAACTAGCCCTAAATATTCGCTTCCCTTTAAGGAAGGCACTGCGAAGAAACGTCAGCCGGGGTCGACATCACATACTCCACAGAAAGCTTCTGTCCCGCAGTGCCCGTGTTTAGTTGGACATGATTGGCATTCAGACTAAGGCCCTGTTCCTCATTGGGCCATATTTTGGCCCCCATTTATCAACACCCCACTCGTTTTGGCCCCCACACCTGGTTTGTGCTGTCGAGTCTTATCCATGGCCGTGTCTGTTTTTGATTCGGGAACTATGGCTCTATTACTTCTATCGGGCAAGAGTCCTGAGTCTGGGCTCCGTTGGATTATCTCTACGGAACACTGCATTTTGGACGTTCTCCCAGAATTGAAAAGCCTGGATGTAAATTTCTGAGCTTGGAATCTCCTAAATTCATTCAGATTCAGTACGACGTTATTATTTCAACCACCTTTTCCCAAGAACCAAATAGAAAAATTGACATAAGGCGCCTACTCGGACAGGGCTCTCGCTTAGTAAATTATATATACAAAGGATAATGGGGTACAGGGCCTTTGTGATATGGATCCCTTCAACATCTCAGCTCTAGCTACGATATATCTTCTGGTCCGAAAATCAGACAGACTGCGCCTTAATACTCGTATTTTTCCCTCAGATGGGACAAGGAAGATTTCCCGAGGCATCGGCCGAAACAAAAGCAAAACGGATTTCGGATATGTAAGACTCGTCGCATCAAGCGCGTTGAATAGAGACTATCCTGTCGTCGCTGTTCGTGCACTGGCAGGTGATATGATTATGCGGACCAGTCATATAACTCACTGTCCCTGGCCTTTAATGGTCCCCAATCATCTCCGTTATTGCCCACTCAGAGTCAGACCGAGCGGCAGAGCTTCGAGTACTGATTTCATAGAGCTGGCCCCTCCATCCCGGGCGTCCTAGACTTGAGCTTCTGGAAAGATACTATCCTTCAGGCCTGTCAGTCTGAGCCTGATATACGAGATGCCGTCATGGCCGCCAGTATATTGTATGAGGCGCCATCGCACGATTTACTTGCCTATACCGTTCTGGAAGATCTGCCCAAAGCATCAATTACGTATTCGACCTATCAGGGAGCGATATCGTGCCATTTAAGGTCTTTGAAATCTGATCATGCAAAGCATGTCATATGGAGAGGAATAATCAAACTTTCAAAATAAGTGAAATGGTATACGCTCCGCAGAATCTATCATTCGTAGTGAGAATATGCATTATGCAGGGAAAAGAAAGAGCTGGCTAAACCAGTCATCGTGATAAAAGCGGTGGGAATACGAGCAATAGCAGTTTCTGCTTAGGATGACGACAATATCTTCAACCCTCAGTTTCCTCGGCCATGGGATACGACTCCCTCATATGCTCAACTCCTGGTAATTTTGGTCGTAACTGAACAACGTCACCAGGCTGTGCTTCTTCTGAGCAGATAGTCGCTCACGACCAGCTGGTCCGGTTATTCCTATACACCTGGTAGACGATGAAGGAATTCGTAGTAAACAGCGGTTAGACTATATTCGATATAATTAGCTAATTGAGTGGAGATTTACGCTCTCATCGGATGATAGTAAAATACAAGGAGCAGGATCTAACTGAACCTCCGAGCAATCTTTGGCCGAAAGTCTAACAAGAAGCAGCTAAAATCCTCCAAAGCAAGACATCCCACGGTCGCCAATTTAGACCAGACGATACGAACAAGGTGATTTCTGTAAACGATCGATCTCAGCGGGATTTGATCAAACACTTTGAGAGCACACATATTAATTGGACAGCGATAGAGAAGCACCTGCGCATTTAGGCCGCGCTGACCTGCTCTGTCAAGGTACTTCAGATTTTATTCGAATCTTGGATTAGAACTAAACAATCCGAGGTATCGATACTGTAAAGCGGGGCATCAATCAGGCATCAGTACGCCAGATGGTTAAAATCTGGCCGTTGGCTGCGTGACACATTTCAATTTTCTCCACCACCATCATGTCAATTCTCTTACTCCCACCCGAGCTGTTAATGATCATTGCGCACCAGCTTGACTACAAGGGTCTAAATGCACTTCTCCGAACCCATACCTCAATATACCATCAGCTCAACGATTACCTCTATCATCGCAATGTTCAATATGGCCCTTCCGCACTTCTCTGGGCCGCAGAGCACGGCTCCCCAAGAACACTTCAGCGCTTTCTCGATGCTGGGGCAGATGTTCGGTTCAAGTCTGATTACTGGACTCTCTCGAGGGCATGGGGCCGAAAAGCACCATATCAGAGACGGCGAGCGGACGGCCAACGAGAGCATCCAATATCCTTTGCAGCGAGTAATGGACATATTGAAATTGTACAGTCTGCTTCTTTATGGAGGCGTTGATATCAATTTTAAAGACCCCGATGGATGTAGCCCTCTTGCACTAGCAGCTCTGCATGGACATTTGGCCCTCGTTAAATTACTTATCTCACTTGGCGCATGTCAACTATCGTGTGATAGATTCCGTCGTCGCCCTATCGCAAATGCGGCTTTCCAGGGACATCATGGTATCGAAGATTATCTTCTCAAGGAATTGAAAGAATTCCCGCACTTCTATCCGAAATTGACTATCCAAGCTGATATTCAATGGATGTTACTATACGCCGCAGAAAGAGGCGACGAGCTTCGGGTCAAATGTCTGGTCTCAATAGGGGCTGATGTCAATTTTCAATTTGATGTGGACGGCTGTACACCTCTCTACGGTGCAGTTGTTTTTGCCCCTTATCCTCTAGATGTGGTCAAGCTACTGCTTGAATTGGGCGCCAACCCTAATATCGGCACAAGGTCTCCACCAACAACAAGAAAAAGAAGAAGTGGTTATATGCAACCACAGTTATTTCCGATTGATCGCGCAATGCAACGAGACGAGAGTTATCACCTTCTCTTACAACTCCTCCAATCTGGAGCAGAGTTTGCAGGACAAGTTGTGACTGAGGCTATCAAGCTCCAAAAGTCAGCAGAATTACGTTTACTCGTTCAACATGGTGCAAAATTATACTCCAGAAATTGGAACAACGAGAAACCGATCTTCAGGCGCGCTCTTGAATCTTCCTGTGAAGAGATTCGGAATGTCATTCTTGAGCGAGGGTTCACTCTCGAAACACCAGATCCAGACTCAAGATTCGGGAGACATCCACTGGAGCGCGTAAGGAGAAATCGTTAAAACAAGGGGGGGCAAACCTAGCTTCGCCATATGCTCTCTTAATATTTCAGTGGGAAGGAATGCGATCAAGGGTGAAGGAAGGGATGGGAAGAGAAACCCATATCAAAAATTCCCATGTGGAGTTGGCAGTTGACGGACTACCATTTGATGGGGTTAAGGGGGGGTTTTCTAAGGGTGAAGACGTCGATGAAGATGGCGATGAAGGAAGGGACTCTAGCACCTGATGACAAGGGGGTGATCATCGGCACTGCGGCCCCTTGGGCGGTCGGTATGAAATGTCCCAACATTATTGGATCATTGAGCAGTCGCACCTACGGAGCCGTAGGTTCGCGTCTCGGCCCGTCCCGACATTTCAAATGAATCGCGTCATTTAACTAATAGTTAACTTCTTTCTATGTGATATTGGGTCATTACCCTCATAACTACAAGACACAACTGATCCAAATATAGAAAACTTTTATAAATCCTCGATAGCTAAAGAATCTTCATCGTCCCCATCTCAAGGGCGTACATATCCATGATATATAGACCGTTCAAATCATCCAACACCCTACGCAAACTCCCACTGGCAGTGAATATTGTAGGTCACGTCAGACCATACTGCACTCCCGTATAAAACAGCCCATTCAGAGCTCGGTGGCGCTGCAGTCCACCTTCCCACCACAGCATTGATCTGCATTGTTCTTCCAGATGCAATTGTTGTGGTCCTCTCTGATATCACAGGGGACTTCGGTGATTTCGAATCGCATACACGCTTGTTTGTCGTTCTCGTAGAAGCTAATAGAGGGATCCGCCGCTGGACAAGCAATGCCGAGACCAGCTTCGAAACCAGACAGGCAGTACTTGCCGCATGGCCATTTCGAGATAGAAAACTCCCCGGCCTTGCTGAAGTCGCGTGTTTTGCCGATATGCTTTCCATTGATTGCTTTGTTGAGCCAGCTGTTGGGGTTACTCCCTGTCCGGGGATTGCCATGAACATCTTGCATATAGAACAGGTCGCTAGGGTTGATGGGTAGCCCTGCAGCGCATTCTTTATCTTTGCAGAACCTGAATTTGCCAGATCGCCGGCTCTTGCTCTCTGGGCCAATTGCATAACCCCAGGCACCAGCAAAGTTTAGGCGCTCCCCATTCTCGGCGGTGAACTCATAGCATTTTCCTAAAGAGCGTTAAGAAGGATGATCTTGGAACATGAAAGGGTGAGCCTTACCGGTCTCTAAACCAGATGAACACTCCTCCTTCTCACATGTTCCGTCTTCCATCTCCTTTGTGCCAGGAGGGCAGGCACATTCACCATTGACTAATATTTTACCATTTTCACAGGACTTCTCCACCTTCTCCTTCTCCTTGCATACCTGGCCATCAAATGTCTGCCCTGTGGGGCAGCAGCGATAGCCCGTTGCCGCGGTACCAACACGGTCATGGCCCTCCGCGCAACATTCGAATCCGATTTTTTTGTTCCCAACAAGGTTTTGTCCATTCAAGCAACACGCAACGTGTTTTTTATCCGACGTCAAGCGAGGCACGGTGTTGTCGCGGCAGCGCAGCCTGCGATCTTCTTGGAAGCCGCCTGTGCCATCATCCGCGGCATCAATATAAATGACGTTGCCGTCTAGGGTGTAGGTAGACTCGATATCTTCCACCTTTATCCCTTGGGCTCCAATCAATGCTGCCTGGAAGAGAAAGGCTGTAACGGCAGTTCTGACCCTCATAGTGTAGGATTTGACGGATTGAGTGACAGCCGTAGAAGAAAGGATTGTAATTTGATATGAGACTGGTTGAGGTTAGACTGATGGCGGATTACTCCGTAGCTTTATATCCTCAGGATCGAATATTGTATGCCACTTTGATGCGTGTGGGAGGCTGGTTTTCAGATCGATGATCTCACACTTGCTAGCAAGAGATCAGTCTGCCGGGTTTGGTAGAGCATGTGGAATTAACTATGATAGTATGGACTAGGTATTCATCTATAATATCTACCGTGAACGTCGTTCTTGATTTTTTCCGACGTTGCAATCCCCACAGATCCATCATACATTTCTGAACGTCCAACACGTCGACATATCTATAATGGAGACAGAGAAAATCGGTAAGAAAGCAGTCGAAGTATCTGCTCTAAGAGTGACTAACGTTTCATACTCAAGAATTGGCTTACTAGTAGCAGATTTGCAATTTCCCAGGCTCATTCATGCTAGAAACACCATTGGAGTCAAAACAGAATCGGTCATAGATCCAGCCTAGACCGCGGTGCTCTTACCTATGATTCACGGCTATGATAATTTTCAGCGAGATCCACCGCGAAAATTAGCTGACGCTGTTTTTATCTTGTAATTTAACACCTACTTGGTGTTCGTTCTCGGATCCCTAGTTTGTGTTACAGTCCGCGAGCCAAGGGATGTAGGACCACAGGACATTTTCATATTTGCGCTCAGTCTAACACACTCTAGGTACAGTACTATGACGAGGTGCAATTGTTCAACCAGAGTTCATATATTAAGGAAAATCGAATCCCCCATTATCATATTTCCCGCCCAAAATATGAAAACGTTGACAGGGAATGCGTTTGACCAAGCTTTTCAATCCTAGTCATCGATAATTGGAATAAGAAGTAGAGCACGAGAAGAAAAATCAGGATCTAGCTATTCGCTTTCTTTGTGTTATAATCCATATCTGCACTTGTACGGAGTTTGCCTTTGTCGAGTCGTAGTAGCCATTCATTTCCCACCCCATTCGTGGGTTTGACTATTGCCACGCAGTAATTTTCTGCATGACGGATGATCTAAACTGTAACAGACGCCAGGCTCGAATATATCCGGCTGGTAAAAGAGATACAGTAATTTAGCAAAGAGGTCACAAGGAAGCTTCACAGGAAATTTGACATCTCCTGATTCCAAAGCTGTTTAAAGACTCATCCTAGGCGACTGGAAGATCGTGATATCATTGTCGAGAATCTTAATTTCTTGGGCCGCATCCCTTATCGCTGTAAATAGCCCATGGCAGGGAGCTCTGAGTAAACTTTGAAGGAAGCTTCCACAATTGCAATAACGGCGGAAACCGTGCCTAGAACTTCCAATCCAGACATTGTGCGTGGTTATTGAACTCGGAATGTTGACGGGGTAAATGGGAAGTCATCAGCTTTCGCGTATCTGGAGAGTGAGCGAGATAAATTAATTCTAACGAGTTATTTTGAAGATGGCACAGCTGGTCGTAGTCAAAATAAAGAGATGAGAACGGGAAATTTAGCCTCAGGAGAGGGTCAAGTTTGACAAGTCATGTGAAGGCGCTAGTGCACAGAATAGCATGGATAGTAATAACCCTAGAACTTGAAACATATAGCATAGCTTTTGTTTTTCGAAAAACCAGGCCATTCTATGCTGCGTGCGTACAAACGTCACGGTCTACTTACTCGCTAATTAAACATTGAAAGTGGAGTGAATCAGCAGAATTATGCCAGCATCTTTCAATGTACATTTGCCCCTGTATTGCGTTAACAAAGCCCATGGGCAAGAGGCTCGGCCACTTACCCTTGAACACTATTCCTATATGTGTCTGCCATATGATGGGGATGGGAGTGGTGATCTAATAAGAGGATGTGAGCGCGAAGCTATCTGCCGGTGAGGGTATGCCCTCAGGTGATACGATACAGATTAGTCCACGCCGCTTTAGTCAATTCATGAGCTCTCAGCTAGTCTTCTATCTACACTTTCCACTGTGATTGTATCCGTTAGTCAGCATGCCTCCAGAGAGCTGCCTACAACACCTCCTTCCACTTCTCTCTTACAACACACATAGCAATACACTGCTTCCACTACTACACGCACTGTATCGGGGAAGGGAAGCCAATCGGCAACCGGCAACCTTAATACCTGGAGTAATGGGTGCCCTGGATATTTGCCCCTCAATTGTGCCTATGTGCCTATGTACCCATGTGCCCATGTGTCTTTGTTGGCTAGGCCATAAACCAATTGATCGAGACGCCGCGCTGACAGTCCACCGGAAGAGGGCTAGCCGCGGCTAGCTACGGATCTGGCATGCGGCAGTGTATCCAGATGAATTCCAAGTTATTTTTTCAATTCTGTTGGCAACCAAGTTTCACTTTTACCTGTGCTGATTTTGTGTGAGTGGAGATTAATTACAAGCCATTGAGGAGGAATTTTTGTCTACTGTAACGCTTAGATGGGGTATAGTCGTATATTGTGGAATTGGGGATGTTCCCGAGAGGGCACTACTTTCTAGGGCGGGAGGGGGGGGGGTTAAATAAAAGAAAAAAACAATTATTAATCGATGAATGGGACGACATAAGATCATATATGTACGAAGTACTGCGTAATAGCCTGGCTAATTGTGTTGGTTTAATAGTCTCAGGGAGTAGCTGAGTGCGACAATCTTGAATAATGATGGCGTATAAATGTGGAGTGCCTGGGCATGTTGAGCGGGCTGATGTCATTGGGTCCACTGATCAAATCATCTTGGACAATGCGCAGTACGCGCCGCGTATTGCAGGTAAGGTGATGCCTAGTGGGTCCGGAGCAGAGTCCTACGGAGGTTCGTTGTTTCACATGAACTGATACGGTCGGAGAAAGTGTGCAGGAGCACGAAAGGAATTGGCCTTTGTCAGGATGATCAAGCCAGGGGTCATCTGAAAGGTGTAACGGATACGATAGGGTGATCTCAAGTGAGACGAGTGAGATTGGGCCCCAAAAGGCGCAGTTAGCCTCGGGAGCCGTGCACATCACATCAGCTTGGCGTTGATAAGGGGTGGGGATAGCTGAGAGTGAATACATACTGTAGTAGTAGGATATCACCATTGACCAGATGGTATACTTCCTGTTATCACTATGATATAGTACTATGGTAGACTGATATTGCCATACCAATCATTGGTATATTCTTTCTATTTCCACCTTTACTCCGTATATAAATATCACATTCCAATTGATGCTCTCATGATCTATGATCTCAGACCACGATCACGCTACCCTCCCTGGAATACTTGACCATTATTGGTGGGACTCCGCCTCTTGGGATCGCCTGGATAGACCGAAAGAGGACTAGTGGAACACCCGGGCATTCACTAATCGACCAATGAAAGGCGTGCCCGCATGAATCTTGTCATGTGGTTGTACTGACTCTACACGGAATTACTTGAATACTTGAATACACGAGTACCCTTACCCTTACCATTACCATTTCTATGACTCTGCCTGATTGACTCATCGTTAAATAGGCGCCAGTCAGCCCATTTTGGTTCCCCCTCCCTTTCCTCTCTTCCCTTTCCCTTTTCACTCTCGGCTTTGACTCACTAACCCCGTCGCCACTGCCTGACAAATCCTCCCTCTACCGTTCTCTGCCTATTCCATTGACTTCCTTTCAGCCTTTAAACCCATTCCATTTTCCCTTTTCCCCTTCTCCCCTCTCCCTCTCTCCTCCCTCTACCTTTCATCATCTTCCAATTCCTGCAATCCCTGCAATTATTGCAAATATTGCACTTTTCCCACGTCCCATATCCCAATTCTACCCAATCTTCACCCCCACCACCTGGAAATGACCTTTGGGTCGCAATATCCAGGCAAACACCCAACAATGCATCATCTACCACTTTCCAGCCTTATGTCTCCCCCCGAGTCAAAGCCAATGGAGACTTTTCACTCTTCCCCATCGCTCGATATTAAATTACCTCCCATCTCAGCTGATCGCAAGCGCACACAGTCCGAGATGGATCTCCCTTCGCCACCCGTGACTCCCTATACAGCCACTAAGAAACGTGCTCGGTCGCATACCGCCGATCAAATTGATCGTGATGTCGCTTCAACTCGTGACCCTCTTCTCTTTCCTCGCCAGGACTCGATCACTGGCGTGGAAGAACAGGAACAGCCCCTCTTCGGTCCCATTGCACCCCCGGCCGCGGCTGCCTTGGTGGATCAACATATCATCTCCCATATGGCCAGGTTTGAGAACAAGAGGAATAAGCCAACCCGAGATGAATATCTCTTGGCTCTATCATGTGTGCCAGTCGTCTCAACTCACTACAATCGTAACCCAGCCGCCTGGGCTCGCGAGGAACGAGAGACTCTGGAACGCCAGTTGGTCTTGATGAATCGCACTCGCCCAGCCGACTTGGATGCCCGATTGAAGAAGATTGCTCCCGCTCCCGCGAAGAATCAGAGATCGGATAGGCATCATCATCATCATCAAGCTGGGGGCCTCACCCCAGCTCAGCGTGCGCCACGAACCCGAGTGCGCCGTACTCCCAAATCTACCCCCAAGCAGCAAGCCCTGGATTCATTTGACTTCCAATCTTCCCCTCTGCCAGCCAATGCCAAGCCACGTGCATCCATCGGTACCAACCGGGATGACACAGATTTCAATGCCCTGCAGGACTTCTCGCCTCCCATGGAGATCCTGGCGGGCAATACGAAAGCGCTCAAGGCCGACTGGAAGGGGCAAATGCTGGATTTGAGCAATGACCCGGACCGACAGCTGCTCAGTCCTGCCGAGCTCAATCTAGCCTCCACCCTGAGATTGTCTTGTGCCACATACCTGTGTAGCAAGCGTCGCATCTTCGAGGCTCGTGTCCGCGCCTTGAGTGTAGGCAAGGAGTTTCGCAAAACAGATGCCCAGCAAGCCTGCAAAATTGACGTCAATAAAGCCAGCAAGTTATGGACCGCTTATGATCGCGTTGGTTGGTTCCGACCGGATCTTTTCCGTGAATATTTGAGATAGGAGCATCTCATATCGCCGAGGGATTTTTGGCAAAAGCCTGGCCTAGAGTTGCCATCTTGCCACCCCCTCTTCTCCCCTTCTCACCTCCCCGTCGCTTGATGTATCGCGACACTTTCCACTTCTCACCTCCACCTCCACCTCCCCACTCCCCTCCCCTTCTCCGTCTCCCGATTCACCGCCAGATTCGGCATCTCGCCGACCAAAGAATCCAGACCGGACTAGACCAGACAAATTATGGATGTTTCCAAATCCAGTAAACTGACCGTCCTTGCCACTCGGACCGAACGATTATTAATTGTCATTGACTCCAGCCTGATCTACTCTTCTCCCTACCATCTTCCCATTTTCAACTCTGAGAAGACGAGTTTACTTCCGACCCACCGATCAGAACTTTGGGTCTTCGCTCTCGATCCTCTCTCGATCCTGTTCTTTAATCATTTTCTCCCTCCCTTACCCGGGGGTCCTTTTTATTCTTATTTTTTTTTCGGCTACCATTTCCTCACGATTGGTCTATGCCATGATGCATTACGACACGTTCCTTTTTGCTCATTCCCCGCTCGCCCTATGCTTGCATGCGTTGCGTTACTCTTGGTTCTGACTTGCTGCATGGTTTTTTCTTGGATTGGATATTGGATATTGGCTACGGCGTTGGTTTTGGATTCGTTGTGCCCACGCACCTGTGTTGTTTTATTTTTTGTATCCCCCATCTAGAATGGCTGGCTTGGGACAACATGCGGTGTTTATGTGACTTTTCTTGCACACCCTTTTGAAGGGTGTTTTCTTTGGCTGCAGTACTCGGGATGACATGATACCCTGACCAGATACGATCCGTTTGTTTTGCAATGACATTATACATACATTAAGCATGACAATAGTAACAAAGTAGTAATACTAGAATATATTTATTCTACCTAGGTATTCTAGTGATATTCTACACTATCCCAGTGAGGCTATGTTCTATAAATAAGCCTACGTCATCCTAGTCTGTGGCTATGGGGACAATCCAATGTTTTGATTGGCCCACACCTCTCGTCCGCCTTTCCTAATTTCCTACCCTTTCATTACTTACACCTTCCTCTCCCCATCGCCCTCCCACAACACCGTCGCCATGTCGCAGCAAGATGTGACTCGGCCTGAGTCGATCGATGAAAATGAGCGCACCCGCGCTGCCGAAGCAGACAAGAAGCCCAAGTCCCGCAGACCAGCCAGTGAGCGCATCCACAAACCCCCCCATCCATCACCTATCCGCCTCCCTCCGCACCATCGAGTGCTTTCATAGAACGAAAATGATTCTCGCATCGCTGTCGTTGAACTAGACTGACAGACGGATTAGATACTGCTTTCCGACAGCAGCGATTGAAGGCCTGGCAGTAAGCCCGTCACTTCCGGCTTATCCTGGATATCACTCTTTCAAGAACCCCTGGATGTACTGACCGCGATCTAGACCGATCCTCACGCCCAAGAGTGTCTTGCCACTATTCTTCATCGTCGGAATTCTCTTCGCGCCCATCGGCGGTGTTCTGATCTGGGCCAGTTCCCAGGTATGCTAGCTATTCGACCGTCCCCTCCCCAAGTTTCCCTTCGCCTCCGCCACGCGCGTCGCTGACACCGCGCCCAGGTCCAAGAACTCGTAATCGACTACACCGACTGCGGCGCCCAAGCCCCCGAGGGGGGCAGCTGGCAAAGCATCCCGCGCCAAGTATCCTACACCTTCAAAGCGAAACCAGCCACACAACCCTCCTGGCGAAAGAACGTCGGAACCGGCACCAACAACGTAACCTGCGAATTGATGTTCGAAATCCCCGAATCAATGGGCCCGCCCGTCTTCATGTACTACCGCCTGACAAACTTCTACCAAAACCACCGGCGCTACGTGCAATCGCTCTCCCTGGACCAACTCAAAGGCACAGCCGTCTCGAACAGCACGATCAAGAGCAGCACCTGCTCCCCACTCGCCATCGACGACAAGACCCAGAAAGCCATCTACCCGTGCGGCCTGATCGCGAATTCAATCTTCAACGACAGCATTTCCGAGCCCAAGCTCGTTAGCGGCGACAGTTCAAGCAGCGGCGTGACGTACAACATGACAAAGAAGGGCATTGCTTGGTCCAGCGACAAGGATCTGTACAAGCAGAGCAAGTACGACCAGCACGCCGTTGTTCCGCCGCCTAATTGGGCGGATTACGACTATGCGAAGGACGGGCTTCCGGCTCTGCATGAGGATGAGGATTTCATGGTGTGGATGAGGACGGCTGGACTCCCGTCTTTTAGCAAGTTGTCGCGCAGGAATGACGATACTGCTATGGAGAAGGGGACGTATCAGCTGAGTATTAAGGACCGTATGTTATCCCGGCGTGAATTGTTGAAAGTTCGCTCTACTTTGAGAAATGATGTACTAACGATTCTAGAATTCAATGTGACCGAGTACTCCGGAACAAAAGCGATCCTAATCTCCACGCGCACCGTTATGGGTGGCAAGAATCCTTTCATGGGAATTGCTTATGTTGTTGTCGGAGGTGTTTGTGTGCTGCTGGGCGCTTTGTTCACGATTGCTTATCTGGTTCGGCCTAGGTATGTCAATGCCATGATACGATTGGTTCTCAATATGCCGAGGACGGTCCCCCCAATGACACGACCCTATGCTAATCATCATGTCTATAGGAAACTGGGTGATCACACCTACTTGACCTGGGACACAACCAATCAACCCACCACAGCAACGACCACCGGACGAGATGATCGAGGAGGACCCTAGAGAAAAAGCCGGGCCAACATATTACGCCACAAATTAAAGCTTCAAAAAAACACAAGTATTCTCATTTTCTTTCTTGCCTCTCTCTATTTCTCTCCTCTACCCCTGCAACTTCAAATGCAATTGGGTCGCTGTGAATAAATTAAGTGGACCATTCCCCGGATCAGGTGTTTTTAACAAGGAGTTTGCCTTTTCTATCTATTGTATCTATCCAATCCAACATTGTCACAACAACAAGCATTCCTTCCACTCCCCTCCCACTCGAAATGACCTCATAAAAGCCCTCGAGGAATCCCCCAACCCGTCGATGATAAGCACCCTCCCCCCATAAATCCTTATATTTCCCGCTCCCCTTGCCGAAACATGCATTCCACGCTGATGACGCCGCATTCCCCGGCCAAGCTCATGGCAGCCTACCTTCTATTCTAGCCCGGCCTCCAGCCCGCTCATATAGCGAAGGAATCTCAGGCGTAGGGATGCTCGCGCATAACTTCTTTCACGGCGGGGGAGAATAACGACAACCGACAACCACCCCGGACAGCACCATCACGATCACGTCAGGAGCCTTCCAACACCACCATGGTCCGACACTCATTTGCTCCCGTGGTCCTCCTCGCGCTGTTCCTCCTAGTCCTACAAACGCACAGCACACCCCTAGCATCGCAGCAAAAGCGCGGTATCTGCGGCACCGAGCATCCAGCCCCGGCCTTCCTCGACGCAGTGCACAACGTCCGGGCCAACGAGTCCGATCCAGCCGCGGACCCCGAGGCTCGAAATGGACCCATCGAGATAGAAACATGGTTCCATATCGTCAGCAGTAAGGCTGAAGCGAACCAGGTCTCGGACGATATGATTAATAGCCAGGTTAGTAGTCCCTGACCCAAAGTTATCACGGGCCTGAATCGAGACCCAGGATAGATATCCTATATAAACCAAACTAAAGTAAACTAACATGCTGATCCCAGTTCTCAATCCTCCAATCCTCCTACCAAGACGCCGGCATCAGCTACCGCCTAGCAGGAGTAACCCGACACGTAAACGACGCCTGGGCCCACGACACCGACGACTTGGCCATGAAAACCGCCCTACGAAAAGGAACCTACAAAACCCTAAACGTCTACTTCCAAACCAACCTCGAAGCCGCACCAGGCCAATCAGGCCGCACCCACCAACCTACCCAGCGCACAAACGCCGACCTCTCCGCCAGCGTCCTAGGCTTCTGCACCCTCCCCGACCCCAGCATAAACGCCAACAGCCCAGCCAGCAGCTACGTAAAAGACGGATGCAACGTCCTCGCGATGACAATGCCGGGCGGAGATCTAGACCTGTATAACCGGGGCGGAACGGCGATTCACGAAATCGGGCACTGGAACGGATTGTTGCATACGTTCCAGGGCGAGTCGTGCGATTCGTCGAATCCGGGGGATTATATTGATGATACGCCGCAGCAGAGTTCGCCGACGGGGGGATGTCCGGCGAGGAGGGATAGTTGTCCTGATCAGCCGGGTGAGGACCTTGTTCATGATTTTATGGATTATTCGAGTGATGTTTGTTATGAGATGTTTACTCGGGGCCAGATTCGGAGGATGAGGAGTATGTGGAGTAGTATGAGGGAGGGGAAATAGTTGAGGTTGGAGTTATCCATCATATCACATCTACAATTCTTCGTCTTACCGTGTGGCCAGACACATAGGATAGACCAATTAAATCAGATAAATTCATAAACACTGCTGTTTTCTCCAAAAAATACATAACTTGGTTGAGACCAAGGATAAAAAAAAAAAACGAAGCCCCTCTTCCTTTCAGTACTTGCATAGCCTGTGCGCAAAAAAGCCATGCCATGCCAAAAAAGGAGAGAGATATGCGAATTAACCACCATCTCGCATTTACCGCTTGCGCTTCTTACCAGCACCCTCATCTTCCATAACAGTCTCCTTATCCGCCCGCTTAGCCTTCTTCTCCAGCTCATCCCAGTCTTCACCACTCTCCTCGCCGCTCATGTCCTCCTCATCTTCACTGGCATCAGCACTAGCATCATCATCGTAGCCCTCGCTGTCCTCCTCGGAACTAGACTCGCCCATCTCGTCCTCGGACAATTCAAAGGCGGATTCCTCTTCGTCGCCTGAGCCCTCGGAGTCGGACTCAGCGGCCAAGAATGACCAGCCTCCGTCCGCGAAGAAACCGTACGGGTCGCTAACGACGGTCTTCATGATGGTCGTCCAGTTCAGGTTCAGCGGTCCCTCTGTGTATGCGATGTCGACGGAGTCGAGCCAGTCCTTGACACCTTCCAGTGACTCGACGGGAATGGTATTGATGTGCACAGGAGGGCGGTGGAAATCCTTGAAGACGAAAACCATGTCGAAATTCTTGAGACCGAACTAGAAAAAAAAGTAAGACGGTCCTGTTAGCAATGCAATAGTAATACGTGGGGAGGGGTCGGATCGGATCTGAACAAAACATACCTGCACGCGCTCCAGATGGGCAATTTCAATCTCGTTGAGCGTGATAACCATGAAAGGCGGCTCTGTAAGTTGAACAAGGGTATCCGTAGTAGGTTGGATAAGAACATTGGAGCGATTAGGCACACCCGTGAAACCAATTTCGCGGAAAGGAATATCAACATCGACGCCCTCGTCCTTGCCAGAATCCGAGACCTTCTCGGTGAAAGCCTTGAACTCGCGGTTCAGGGCCGCCCTTCGGCGTCTTTCTTCCTGCTCGGCCTCGAATTCCTCCTCGTCGCCGTAGCGGTTCTTGCGGCGGCGGTTGCCCGTCTCGTCGAACTGCATCTCGGTGGCTTCGCGGTAGAACTGGACGTCGCGCGTCTTTCGCTTTCCGATCATGATTGGTGTCTTGAGGTGCACGTGGATTACGACGATCAGTTCGTGGTCACACGGTTGGAAGAAGAGATGCTTGATGTTGCTGAAGAGCACGTCGACGTGCTCGTTGCGGAAGGGTGAGAGGTAGCGGAGACCGTTCTGGTGGATCTCGACCTCGCCGGGGACACGCTTTCCGTCCAGCGGGGGGCGAAGGAAGACGTCGGGCAGCTTGACGGGACGGCGGTCTAGAAGGATGAATTAGTATTTGTTATGTGGCGTGCGACTGCGATCACGGGTGATTCTGGACTTACTTCTGATTTCAACGAGCTTATCTTGCTCAACCACATCCTCCATCTCTTTCTTTTCCTGCTCGCGTCGCAGGGCATTCTTTCGAAGCTCAGTGATGTCCTGTGCGACTTGTGCCATGCGATCATTGTGTTTAGACCGCAATGTTAGGTTGCGGACGAAATGGGCCGATGGGTCTTCAAAAGGTTGGTCATCCTTTCTGCCAACACCTTGACCTGGCGAGAGGAAATTGATACGCAAGTAGGCATATTCACCCTCATCACTCTTGCTGGCGTTCTTGATGGTGTTGATATGGAATGGCACTGGCCTTCCCATAATTGGCACAATGACAGTCGAGGCTTTGTGGTCGACATATATTGTGAGATCCTTGACCTTGGCAGGCAGCTGGTTATCACGCTTGTAAGATTCGAAACGCTTAAACTTCTTCTGCGCCACACCATTGTCATCACCGGTAGTGCCCGTGAATCTATCAAGACCCTCCTTGGTCTTCTTGGAAGCCAGCTCTTTTTGATGCTCACGACGGCGGGCTTCGGCACCCTCGTTGGTCTGGGTGGGACGTTCGGCACGGAGCTTCGTGCGGGTGACGTTCCGGCTGTTCAAGGTGCTTGACTTTGGCTCCTTCTCCTTCTTGGGCTGCTCCGGCTCCTCTTCATCTCCGAAGTAGAAAGAGACAGAGTCCATGTCGACGCCGGCATCCTTGGTGAAAATGTGGGGGCTACTCTCTCCTACTCGGACTGTGTCGGTAATGACCATAGAGTAGGTTCCCTTGCCCTTGGATTCATCCTTCAGATCTGTGAACCCGACGCTGATGCAGAGTGTCATGCCGTTCTTGAGGGGGCGGTTGTTCTTAGCGTTGAGGATCATGTTTGAGTCGCGCAGCTCAATACCGATTCCGGCACCGACATTCTTTGTCAAGTGGTTCTCGAGCTCAGGCTTCTTCGACTTGACCAGGCTGAGCGCCTTGTTGTATAGCTCCTTGGCTACAACACCGTCACGGATCTCCTTCATCACAGCATCGTGAACATTGAGCAACAATGAGTAGTTAGCTTCTTGAGACTTGCTCGGGTCCACCAGATAAGTACGCCCAATGAGCGAGTTATAGGTTTTATACCGAATTCCGAAGCTGGAAAGGATAATGCCAGGCTTGAGGTTGTTGCCATCGGATGTCGCCGTCAGCTTCAAGTCGTAGCTACCGCCACTTTGGACCACAGGTCCATAAGCCCAGTCGATTTGTTCGGCATCGAACTCGGCCGGCAGACGCGCAAGCTTATTGAAGAATTTCGCATCGTCGATTTTCCCATCCACCTTGGCAGAAATAGCCTTGTGTGTCATTTGCTTCTCCTCGTCAAGGAGGCGAGACATTTCATCGACAAAGTACTCCGACATGAGACCACTGCAGGCCCTGGAAGCATTGCGGATGGAAACTAGCTCTTCGGGGTCCTTGATGGCGAAGGCAGATGAAAGCGCGGGGGTGATATCGACTTCCTCCAAATCCTTCTGGACATCCTTGAAAGCGTTTCTCCATTCATCGGCGAAGGGTCCGGTGGTCGTATCTTTCGGAAGAGTGCCTATTTTCTTCTGTCATGTAGTATTAGCAAAGAAGATAAATATTTTCCAACTTGAGCAAATGACATACTCCTGCTTCTTTGATGACACTGAGACACTTTTCGAATGCCTTTGTCTTTGTCTCGGGTTCCTTAGTGGTCACCAAAATCTCGACTGGGATCTTGCCACCCTTCAACGGCTCCAAAAGCTCGGCTATGTTTCCACCGCATCAGTATGAGTATTCCGGGGGAAGAGCGAGATTGGCAAGGCGTACCTTTCTTTGCGGTAGTGACAACGTATACGGCCTCGGTGGTGAAGACAAAGAGGGTAGCAGGAAATTCGTATCCGAGGAGCCAGAACTTTATAGAAAAGGATTATACGTTAGCAGAGATAACACCAAGAGTGCCAGGTCACCAGCGAGGAGTTGGCGAATGAATGAATGACATACGTGCATGGCGTTGTTCTTTTGAAATGAGCTCTCATTCGAATTGGTCTTCCCCATAAGAATGACGATTGAATCGGCTCCACCGAACAGGGTGTTTCCAGACCGCTTGTCGGCCTTCCATGACGCATAGAAGTTGGACAAGTGGTTGAAGAAAGTCTTCTTGTCAATCGCAACCTTGTCGGCCATGCTGGCGATCTGGTGCAAGGCAAAGCTTGCGGAAAGCTGCGAGACTTGCGCGGTGGGTGAAGTGAAAGGCTAATCAGGGATAGGGTCGCATGCGAGAGACGATTCGGTGAGGAGGGGGTAGGAGTGGAAGATGAGAGATGGGGGAGGTGAAAGGGAGAAGGTTGGATTTAGCCTGAGGAACGCGAAAAGCGCGTTTTGGCGGAGTCGGTCCCAGTAGCCCCCCCGTGCCCAGTATTGCCTTTTTGGGATTAGCGCAGTTCCTGCTCTGTGTGTTATGCGCTGACGTAGGTACAATATGTATATGAGGCTGAGTATGTGGTAATAAGATAATTTTTATCTTTTATTTTCCATTTATGAAAATAATATGTATATTATATTGTGATATATTTGGTCATCAGCGTTGAAGAACTTTCAGGTGGTCCTAATCCTCGTAGTAAGAACCTGGGAAGAGGACACAAATATACCCGGAGACGCAAAAATTATATATACAGCCCTGTCACATATATCAGCTACATAAGTCCAGAATATACTAGCCAAACTACCTAGTTAATTTACTACCTAGGTAAGTACTTTATGACCATGTATACTTAGATAATCCACTTCATAACGGGACCGAAGGATGATCGCGGATTGTTGATCAGATTACCAATATATGATTCCATGGCATGGTTGGTGATACTACTGAGATGACCGCATATGATCTACGAGTACGGCGGTTGTAGAGTTATCCTAGAGCGTTCAAAACGCCTTAACTAGACCCGAGCAGGGAAACTACCCAGCTCAACCCGAGGATGCGAATGTGCCATACATGTCGTGAACTTTTTTGTTTTCCTAGTATCCTGAGAAGACAATAAATGCCATGATTGACCTAACTGACATCACGTAAAGAAACACCACCCCAATCGTGTCTCGCCATTTAAACGGTCTCCAGAACGGTCTCCTTGAACTCCCGCTCGACCTTCTGGCCCTTGTCATCAGTGGCCGACTCGCCGTGGAGGGACAGGAGGGCGCCCAGGTCGAACTTGGGCTGCTTGAGCAGCTTAACCTTGCGAATGTGGACCTAGAGAGAAGAAAATATTAGTCGGATGAACGGGGTGATGAACAGAACTGCCATCGCAGAACAAGAGATAGAACGCACATTCTGCAGGGGTAGATGCCCTGGGTGGACTTCTCGATCTCACGGCCAATAACCTCGGGGATGAGCTTGTGGGTGAGCTGAGACAGGGTGCAGCTGGTAGCCTCGCGCTGGATGATCTCGGTCATCTTCTTGCGGATGGCACGGATTTGAGAAGAGCGAGCGTAGGTGGTCTTCTTAATCTGGTTGGGGCGACGCTTGGTGAAGGCAATGGCGAACAGACGGAGGAGGTAGTCGTCAGTGGTCTTCACGGTGACGTTGGCCTCGATGAGAGACTGCCACTTGCGGACGAGGGAGCGCAGCTTGTCGGTGGTGAAGTCCAGACCGTGGAAGTTGGTCAGGCAGTTCTTGCCCTGGATCTCGTCGACGCGGAGCTTGACCTTGCGGAAAGAGTGGTCCTCATCGTTCTGGAGGTCGGCGAGGGAGACCTCGAAGATACGGCCCTTGAGGGAGTCGTTGGCGTTCTTCAGACCGCTGGTGCGGTTGACAAGGGTCTTGCCAACACTTTGGTTTTCCGTTAGCATCTGTTGTTCGTTGTCGACGGATCGATAGTCAAGGGAGAGAGAGAGAGCAAAAAAAAATTGGAGGGGTGTCCTACTCGCGGGTCTGGAAGGTGGAGGGGGCCTGGGTGAAATTGTTAGCATTGACAAATTCGAGTCGACACTGAAGGTTCGCTTTCGCGGGCGATTGAATGTAGGGAACTCACCTTGACGGAGTACTCGTCCTTGCGAGTGAAGGGGTCGACAGTGCGCTTCTTGATACCCTTCTTACCCTTGCTAAGGCGCTTGTTCCTAAAGACCAGTGGGTTAGTCGATCAATTCGAGATGGCGGCGAAGACGAGAAGACGAAGATAGGGCCAGTAGGGAGCGAGAGAGAATCGGGCGACGTACTTTCCAACAGCCATTGCGAATCGGTCTATCTGTGTGTTAGTTGAAAGACAGACAAATGTATCGCTCCACGGCGCTCAAAGGTTTCGAGATTCACGCTGCACGGCTAGGGAGGGTTTCCAATTTCCAACCCACACAAAACTCGCTAAGCGAGGCCCTACTGCTGAGGTCAGCGGGCACGTGACACACACTCGCAAATTTACCGTTCGGGAGGAGGACCAATCAGAGTGAAGTATCTGTATCTGGTATCACTGATATCACTTGCCTCAGGTTGACAGGAGTTTTTTTTTTAGTGTTTTTTGGAGTGGTGATCTTGTGTCTTCTCGTGAGTAAAGGGAGGTTTTATGTAAACCTAGGTATTTACTAGTAGATTTATGTAGATGTGCTTATGTACGGAGTCATATTGTATCTTCTCTAACACTGTTCAAGTGTACTTCATTCTATACGAAATAATCCCATATATTCTTCGTATCCTTCGTTGTTGTTTCTTAGCCCATTGCCATTTGCTATTACCACTTCGGACCCTCCTAGCCACCTTAGTGCCTGTAGTCTTGGCTGGAGACAAAACGGGGACGGCGCGGAAGAATGGGTCTCCGACAGCTCGTACTCCGCACCGGCGCCAACCCCTCACAACTCTCAACTCTCCATCGCGCGCGAACACTCACTCTGTCATCCTGAGCATGGTATGTCGGATTTCGCATTCCTACACTCCTACACTAAAATAACCCCACCTAACAATCTCTCCTACAGGGAAAGCGCAAGTCGTCCAGTAAACCCCAAGGACCGCGAAAGGTGCGACACGACCTCTACCCGTATCCGTTCCACTTTCCCCATCCCAGCTAACAGAGACCAGCGGGAACCTCTGGCCACCACATTCGCTTGCCTCTTCTGCAACCATGAGAACTCGGTCGTTGTCAAGCTAGACAAGAAGTTGGGTCTCGGCGATCTGTCTTGCAAAGTCTGTGGGCAGAAGTTCCAGACCGGTATCAACTGTAGGTGGAATTCGACCCCGGGCGACTAGCACTATGCGCCGATGATATTTTGGGGTCCTATCAGGCTTACTCACAATCTGCTAGATCTCTCTGCCGGAGTAGACGTTTATTCCGACTGGGTCGACGCGTGCGATGCCGTGGCCAAGGAAAGCGCCAACCAATACGATGGCGCTACGAGCTCGCAGCTGGCAAGCAGCAAGCAGGGTGCGCCGGCACTAGCGGAGGCCGACGAAGACGACTATTGATCATATCGAGATTCTATTAAAAAAAATGGAAGGAGGGAAGGGGGGCGAATGGCGCATGGTTCTGGTACCGATTCGATGAAGGTTATTCCCGGCGCATCCATCAATTCGTTTCAATCTCGATCACTCATGTCCACGGACGCGCTCTACTTTCGAAACTGAAACACAATCAACATCATCTTTTTCTATTCAACAATATATTGTACGGATTTACGTTTGGATTCTGAAAACAAAAGATTTCTTGGAAAGTAGTTGGAATTGGTGTGAAGGTGAACATCGTCAACGGTGTCCCTAGTGCTACACTTATGCTCTACCCATAATGATATACTTAGGTTTGAAGAGCCGGGCAGTCGCAGCATACGCATCAAGCCTCAACTTGAACTCAAACTTACGATTTCATGTGGGGATGAGAATGGGCTCTATAGCGTATAATAACGGTCGCCAAAATCTCCAAGTCCGGGGACGATGTATCTGTGAGTTTCGTTAGTATCGTTAGATCTATGAAATTATTGGGTATGGTCGGCGTGTATACTTCTTCTCGTCCAGTCCTTGATCAATGAACGCGGTGACGACCCTCAGCTTGGGGTATTTTTCCGCAAATTCGGCCACGCCCGAGGGGCTAGCAATCAAATTCAAGAATAGAATGCGATGCTCGGGGACTCCCCTCTCCTTCAGCACTTCCACCGCCAAGGTCGCGGATCCACCTTTGTATAGTGTCAGTAGGGCGGTCAGAAGCAAAGAGAGGCGGTTATGCCTTGAACTTACCAGTGGCGAACATGGGATCAAGGAGGAGAACCCATCGGTCAGCAATATCAGCAGGAAGCTTGTCATAGAAAAGCTTGGGCATGCAGGTCTCCTCATCTCTTTGGATCAGGATCTTGCCGATCCGAACTGACCGGCAGCAGTCCCTCAGTCCTTGTTCCATGGCTTCTCCAGCTCTCATGATGGACACTCCGCAAATCTTTCCCTCGAACTTGACACCTAAGTAATCTCGTCCAACGGGTGTTTGGATTGATTGCTCGACTACGGGGAGGTGGTTCAAGCCTTCTTCCACCAACAGGCGAATGATGCGGTTGGAGTAGAAGATGAAGTCCGCACGAGCGGTACGCCCGTCTCGGATCATACTATTGATTTTGTTAGATATGACATGGTTTCAACAAAAAAGGGCTCTTTGGAAGATATTCTCACGTCAGAAGAGCAATCAACTGAGGTGTTTGAGGGAGCACGTGGACATTATCGTAGGAAACCTCTTTGGAGACGGTTGCAGTGGGCTTCTCGCCATCAGGACGGTAGATGGGACCAACACCTTGAGCAGGAGAGGGAATCTGTTCTTTGCTAGCCATGTTGGTGAGAAAGAAAGTGACAAAGACAACTCTTAGGAAAGTAATAGGTAAATCAAGAAAGAGGAGAGCTCTGAAAGCGGGGAGGGTTTTTTCTCTTATCGCGTATCTCTGAACCGAATGACCTGCCACTTCCACTCCCCGTCGGACTCCGCATTTGTGCTTCTGCGCCTGCCGTCGCATTCGACTCTTCTCACTCCTGGGGACTTGACTGAACTTGTTACCCTCTTTGACAACGGTTCTTCTATCAACTTCTCTTCAAGGGACAATTGAGTCTCTCGCGAACGTGTTCTCTCGAATCCGATCTGCTCAATAAATCCCGCACGGTCCCTCAACATCTCCCCATCCCCCCCCATCTCCGCTTGAAACGAAACCCCATGCTTGAGATCGGCATGTCTGTGGCGCGCACACAGTAGCTCGTCAAGCGCATCTGATCGAACCTTCAGATCTGTGAATCTGCACATTCTTTCAGCACTCGATTGTTCTCGCGCCTCCCTTTTGGCGCGCATGAAATGTGCCGTGTTTAGAGACCCATTCTTGAAACGCGACAATGGATCCGTCGCGTCCCCGAAACCGCAAGCAGGTAACCTACGGCTCTGCTTCGAGACGGTCGATATCGGAGAATATACCTGAGAACAAAGCAGCTCCGAGTCCTACTCCTGCAAGGAGGACTCTAGCATCTCGTTCTCCCAAGGCCGGGATATCCGGCAATGCGAATGCGAATGCCGACAAACGACCAAGAACCCCTGGGACAACCAAAGCAGTCGCAGTCGCAACCGCAGGGTCGCAAAACCCCCCTGATGATAATGTTTACGATATCCCATCTTCTGACGACGAAAATGTCAATCTCATCCTACAACGAAAGCGACGACGAGGTGGAGGTGGCCCGAAAACCAGCACCAATACGCTCCAAATCTCGGATTTAATAGCCAGTGAAGATGATAAACAAAACGGGGATAGAATTTTGGATTCAAAACCTACGGAGACTCATAGTGAAATGACTCCAGCCCGGGCGAGGGTAACCATGCAGGATCGAAAAAGGGTCCAGGGACAGAAGCGGGACACTGAAACCCAGCAACCGAGTCCTAAGAAGCCCAAGACTCCGACTCCCTCGACCCACAACAGAAACTCAAGATCTCGGAAATATGCCTCATCATCGGAAGACGAGCTACAGAAACTAGTGTCACCAAAGTACAGCCCACAAGAAAAAGAGCCCAAATTTGAAGCCAGTGCCAAGTCGCTCTCGCCTTTACCTTCGCGTCCGCAGACATACACCAATACAACGGCTGGAAATACAACACCGGGGAGGAGGAGGTTAGTCGATGCACTGGGAACAAGAGAAAGATCACTCGACCGGACGTCATCGAATGGTTTTACCGACAGCCAATTATCTTCTCCAGTTGCTTCCCAAAGCCCAATTAGACCCAGGGATACTGGCGCTGAGTCGCTCAGCAATAGTCAGCGTGAGCTTCTTGCACAAGAACCCACCACCGCGCCGTCCCCGCATTTCCTAGGTGGGAAAGTTACGTATGCCCGACAGCGTTCTTTCCTAGACGACCTCAATCTATCCGGCGATATTTCCGCGGGCGTGGAAGGAGATAGTCTGTTCAGCCCTAAAGGGTTGACCGAGGCTCTTCCCCGGGCTCGTCTGTATGAGATAAACGATGCCACGAATGATGACGGGGCAGTTCGAAGCATCCACGAGCTCAGACAAGCTGGAGGAAATGCCCGCTACCGGAGCGCCATCGAGTCGATCTTTGAGGACATTGAAGATGCACAGATCTCCGTATCAGGCCGATGCGGTGCCTTGGCTCAGATATGCGGCAAGTTGTTAGACCCTAAACAGGCGCGGCAATTTGTTGAGTGTGGTTTTGATAAGAGGATTGTGGACTGTTTGTCCAGAGATTTGGATTTGGTCTCTGCTACGCTTGCATTTTCTGTCTTTGGTCTGAGTTGCGCTGGTCGCTCTCTGCCATATATCATTGCAACCGCCGCGTGGCCAAAGCTGTTGGAAACAGTGCCCCTTCTCCTTGCCGTGCAGAAGGATGTAACCGCCATGGCGTGCGACAGAGAGAATAACCTGTCCAAAGTGGCTCAAGGGATTGTACAAGACATTGCGCCGCAAATCAAGTCGAAATTGTTTGTTGATGACGACGATTTGGAATTTTCGCCATGTCTTTTGGCCCTCTTTTGCCTTAGAGTGACTATTTCGGCATTCCAAGAGAAAGGCGAAACCCCGTCTGGTCTTTCAACAGAATTATTGAGACAATTGGTCGATCTTCTGTTGTCTGAATGCTCTCCGGAGAGCAAACAACCTATTGGAAGAGGAAGGTCGCAGGTTCTCGTTTTGGGCTTGGTTCTCTTGGAAACACATACTACTTCGAGCAGTCTTCTTCGAGACGAGCACTGCGATGCGTTGAAATCACTTCCCGCGCTTCATAGCTTGCTTCAGGTGCCAGACAACTCGGATGAGGCCGGCCAGGAGCTACAGAACCTCTATATCCGGGTAATTTTGAATGTGACGAATAGCAGCGCGGATTTATGCGACCACTATGCAACATCGCCCATGATTGAAGCGCTGGCTGAAATCGTGATGTCCAAATTTAATGACCTAAATGGGGACACTCCTTCTCAGTCGGAGGGAATAAGTTCCCTCGACACAGTGATTTTGACCCTTGGTGCTCTCATCAATTTAACCGAACAGAGCGAAAAGTCTCGCGTCATGTTCCTCAATACATCTCGAGGATCTGAATCGATCCTCGACCAACTCGTCCACCTGTTTCTCGAACATGTGGAATCAATTGCACAGGTATGTACCCTCCCTTCCTGACTAGGATGACCCGTAACTGACCAAATCCCAGGCCGACTCTGTTCCAGAAGTCCACCATAATGTCGCGGTGGGCTATCTCGCCGTCCTTCTTCTTTCTCTCTGTTTAGACCGAGATGTGCGGCTCAAAGTCAAGGAAATTTTGCACCCCAAGGGTCTTTCCGTGGTGATGTCGACGGTGGACGAGTTCATGCAGTACCACCAAAAGATCGAGCTGGAGCTGCACCCCATGCAGAACAGCAACGAGACAGGTGGATTCCTCGGGCGGCTCCAAGAACTTGTTGGCCAAATACAGTTTATTGAGGGGTAATCATGCATGCGATGTTGCATAGTACCCCGGATGTAACTTTGTACATTTCTGCGTGAGTTTGGCGGGACCCCCCCCCGGATTGGATATTGCGGAGGCGGAATGCGGATGGCGTTGGGGGGCAAGATCTTTGTTTTTTTGGTTGTTTCCATTTTTGAATCTACAATGATTGATACCCTTTCTTTATTTGAAACAATACATGTACAGAACAGAAACGAAAATTTAAGTTCATAAAAAATGTCCCCCCGGAGTAGATCGGAGTACATCGATCGATACTTGGAATGTACAAATCAAGCAGGGCTGGACCGATCGATCGAACTGTTTGCAGCGTTTGCATGCCCAAGCTCAATGCTTTCCCAATCATCTGGAACTTTGCCACCGAGCACGCCTGTTTCACCACCTCCACTCATCTTCCTTCAATACGGATTTCTCTGCCTCATATTTCCCCCATAACACCAGTTTCTAATAACCGCACCCGCAAACACCGACAAGATGCCCGCTGCGCCGAAACAGAGGAAGATCGCAATTGTTGGCAGTCGCTCCGTCGGTATGAACTCCCTTCGTCCAGTCTAAGCAAATCATTTGCTTTACTCGACTTGGCTTTACTTTACTTTACCTTTTTCGTGGCGGTGCCTTTGCTTTAGCGCTGCGTTGTCTTATCTGAACCCGGGGATATACTAACTCTGGGCTGGGCGTTAGGCAAATCCTCACTCACAGTCCGCTTCGTCGAGCACCATTTCGTCGAAAGCTACTACCCCACAATTGAGAACACATTCAGCCGAATCATCAAGTACAATGGGCAGGATTATGCGACTGAGATCGTCGATACCGCCGGACAGGTATGTCCTTACAAGCCCCCATTCCCCTCGCGTGGGGCTCCCCCGTCGGTCTCATCGCTGACCCATTCTGGTTACGATTACGCGCAGGATGAGTACAGCATCTTGAACTCGAAGCACTTCATTGGTATCCATGGGTATATTATCGTGTACTCTGTTACCTCGCGGCAGTCCTTTGAGATGGTGAAGACTATTCGTGATAAGATTTTGAATCATTTGGTGAGTTGGAACACATAGAGCGGGATATAGATAGATACCATATCCCCTATCCCCATCCCCATCCCTATCCCTATCCCTATCCATTGCTGGAAGTGCTGCTGACACCAACTCAACAGGGAGCGGACGAAGTACCCCTCGTGGTGGTCGGTAACAAGAGCGATTTGAAGACAGAGCTGCGACAAGTTTCTCTCGAAGAGGGCCGCCAATTAGCGGAGGAGGTCAACTGTGCTTTCACTGAAGCCAGTGCTTTCCTTGACTTCAATGTTTCCAAGGCCTTTGAGCTTATGATTGGGGAGATTGAGAAGTCGCAGAATCCCGGCCAGCCGGCTGGTAACAACAAGTGTGCCGTGATGTGAGGTGTTGCCGCCATCGCTTGAAGTTATTACTTTTCTTTCCGGTACGTTGCATATTATATTTCGGGAGGACATCGAATCGATCAGCTCTAGAACCCACTTTACCCTACTGTCTGCTTTATCATTGTCTTGAGCATGGGCATTTTGCATGGCTGTCTCTCCTTTCGCCTTCATACTGACATACTTCTGGTTCTAGGAACTATATTCGTCCCGGGAATGTATCGAATGCTCCACTGGAATCCCGAGACCGATTCGGGTATCATCGCTTGCATTTTTATACCTTTGCTCTCTTTCTTCTTTTTCGCTTCTTCTACTACTACTATTCTTCTTGTTTTTTTTCTTTCTTTTGGCTTGATGGAACATTGGGATCGGTTGCATGAATCATGAGGTTGTTTTTGTCTGGCTAGGGATTCTGTATTTGCGATATCGCAGCGTGCATAGAATAATGAAATAGGCCAAATGGCCCCTTCAATGGTCAACAGTCCCAAATCCTTGATCCTTTTTTGAGACGAACCTATTGTTTCAATTATGAAACAATCGCTTACCTAGGTAGTACTAGGTATGTAACAGCCTGCAGGAGAGTTGAGTACTTCCCCGGCGGCTTAAGTAATGCCCCGCCGCACTTTTTCCATTTTACCCCTCCACAACTGACGTCTCCGTGCACCAGATCAGTTTTCTAAGAAATTCGCCATGCTCGACCTTAACGATTTCATTACCGAGCGCGGTGGCGATCCTAAGAAGATCAAGGAGAGCCAGCGCCGACGTGGTGCGCCTGAGGAGGTCGTTGACGAAGTCATTGCGCTGTACGAGGAGGCTCGCAAGGGTATGTTGGCACAGCGAACAAGACAATCAACACCGGGACTAACATCAGACAGTCCGCTATGGAGTCACCCAAGTTGGTTCCCAAATGAACGCCCTCCTGAAGCAGATTGGCATGAAGAAGAAGGTAGCTCACTCCGCCCACGTCTATACGGTAGCTCTCGTGCCACATACAACATACTCACTCATATCGCCCGAATAGAACAAGGAGGATGCCAGCGAATTGATTGCCGAGAAGACCGCCCTCGACAAGACCAAGAAGGAGGCCGAGGACAAGGCTATCGCCGTCGAGAACGAGCGCGACCGCAAGATTCGCACCATTGGAAACTACGTCCACGATTCGGTTCCCGTCAGCCAGACTGAGGTAAGGAAAATGAATTCTTGCTCTCCCTGCAAAGATACGAATAGCCAAGCTAACGCGATACTCAAAAGGATGATAACCCAATCGTCAAGACCTGGACCCCCGAAGACGCAGCCATGGACCGCCCCGACTGCCTCTCCCACCACGAAGTCCTCACCCGCCTGGACGGTTACGACCCCGAGCGCGGCGTGAAGATCGTCGGACACCGCGGATACTGCTTGACCGGCTACGGTCTCTTCCTCAACCTGGCCCTGGTCAACTACGGACTGGAGTTCCTGTTCAACAAGGGCTACACGCCCAACCAACCCCCGCAGTTCATGCTCAAGGACCTCATGGCCAAGACCGCCCAGCTGGAGCAGTTCGACGAGGAGCTGTACAAGGTCACTGAGGGTGAGGACAGCTCTACTGACAAGTACCTTATTGCCACCTCCGAGCAACCGCTGTCTGCCCTGCATGACGGCGAGTGGCTGCAGGAGAAGGACCTGCCTATCAAGTAAGTTTCCGAAACCCAAAAACTCCAGCCCCCGCGATAGCTCGCATAAAACGGTACTAACATTTACTTCCCCAGGTACGCCGGTTACAGCACATGCTACCGCAAGGAAGCCGGCGCGCACGGCAAGGACGCATGGGGCATCTTCCGCGTCCACCAGTTCGAGAAGATCGAACAATTCGTCCTGACCAAGCCCGAAGACTCATGGAAAGCCTTCGACGACATGATGAACACCTCGGAAGAATTCTACAAGTCCCTGGGTCTGCCCTACCAAGTCGTGTCCATCGTCTCGGGCGCCCTGAACAACGCCGCGTCCAAGAAATACGATCTCGAGGCCTGGTTCCCCTTCCAGAAGGAATACAAGGAGCTCGTCTCCTGCTCCAACTGCCTGGACTACCAGTCCCGGGCTCTGGAGATCCGCTTCGGGCAGAAGAAGGCGACCGATCTGAAGAAGACGTACGTGCACGCGCTGAACGCTACCCTGTGCGCTACTGAGCGTACCCTGTGCTGTGTTCTGGAGAACTACCAGCGCGAAGATGGTATTGAGGTTCCCGAGGTTCTGCGCAAGTATATTCCCGGACAGCCCGAGTTCCTGCCTTACACTAAGGAGCTGCCTAAGGATACTACCTCTGCCCGTGTCAAGGCTAAGCAGCAGGCCAAGGCCGGAGCTGCAGCTGGAGGTGCTGATGAGGCGGCCAAGAAGTTGAAGGATCTTCAGGTTTAAGTGAAGAGAGAGAGGATTGCTTTGCTTTCTAACCATACAATCAAAACGAGCGAACTGTTACATACCATATAATGCGGAGCGTCCCCGTAAACAGTGAATTTCACGCGATACAATCAATTCAAGTTCTGAATCTCAAGGACACTGGACAGTGTATGGATACGACTTCATCTACTAAATATAAAACTACATACTCCCATCTACTCCCATCTACGCCGATCTCCCCCACTCGGGTTGCCGAGTTGGGGCGGTGATGATTGGCGTGCGAATTCCCGGCAGAAAAAGGTAAAAAAAAGCAAAAGCCGAAAAAAAAAAGGATTTGCCCCGCGATGCCCCTCTCTTTTGACCAGAGGGTACTCGTGAGTCACAGTCAAGAAATGAGTCAATGGTATAAGACAAAAGAATAATAAATAGCGTGGGAAAGACAAATAAGAAAGTACCAATTTTAAACCAATAAAGTCAATTGACTCAAGTCCGCTTGCGTGCTTTTTTTTTTCACTGGTTTTCTCTCGCCGATTCCGGAGATCTGACACTTTGGGCTTATCTAATTCAACTGTGATTCATACAACCACTGGGAGAAAGACCATCACATCTTCCTCTCCTCTCCTCTCTTCTCCTCCTCCCCACCTCTTTTCAAAACATACACACCATGACCTCCGCTCAAGACATTCGTCCTCGCAAGGACGAACTGGCCGCTCAGGCTCAGTACTTCTCGACCTCCCCCAATGCTTCCTTCCACTCCCCCTCCAGCCACAGCTCAGCACTCACCCGCACAATTCCCCTGCCCAATGCGAAGCACCTGAAGCCCTTTGCCACTGAGGACATCAAGGTCTTGCTGCTGGAGAATGTCAACCAGACTGGCCGTGATATCCTGTCACAGCAGGGTTACCAGGTTGAATTCCTCAAGTCTTCGTTGCCTGAGGATCAGCTGATTGAGAAGATCCGGTATGTTCTTGTCCTAGTCCAATGCTCATGCAATTCTTGCTAGAAGGCAGAGCAAGATAGAGAGAGAGAGAGAGAGAGAGAGGCGAGACCCCTCCAGGTCTCCCAAATGCAATTGCAAAAGCAAATCAAAGCAAATACTAACTCAACCAGCGACGTCCACGTCATCGGCATCCGCTCCAAGACCAAGCTCTCAGCCCGCGTCCTCAAAGAAGCTAAGAACCTCATTGTTATCGGCTGCTTCTGCATCGGCACCAACCAAGTCGACCTCCAATATGCCGCCGACCACGGCATCGCCGTCTTCAACTCCCCCTTCAGCAACTCCCGCAGTGTCGCCGAGCTCGTCATCGCCGAGATCATCGTCCTAGCCCGCCAACTCGGCGACCGCTCCAACGAAATGCACGCCGGAACCTGGAACAAAGTCAGCAACGGCTGCTGGGAAATCCGCGGCAAGACTCTCGGAATCATCGGCTACGGCCACATCGGCGCGCAGCTCTCCGTCCTCGCCGAATCAATGGGCCTAAACGTAATCTTCTACGACGTCGTCAATCTGATGGCCCTCGGCAGCGCCCGCCAAGTCAACAGCATGGAATCCTTCCTCGCCGAAGCAGACTTCGTCTCCTGCCACGTCCCCGAACTCCCCGAAACAAAGGGCATGATCGGCGCCGCCCAATTCGACCAAATGAAAAAGGGCTCATACCTCATCAACGCATCCCGCGGCACAGTTGTCGATATCCCCGCCCTCATCGACGCCATGCGCAGCGGTAAAATCGCCGGCGCCGCGCTGGACGTTTACCCTAACGAACCCGCCGGCAACGGCGATTACTTCAACAGCGAGCTGAACAGCTGGGGCGCGGATCTGCGCTCGCTGAAGAACCTCATCCTGTCGCCGCATATCGGTGGCTCGACCGAGGAGGCGCAGAGTGCTATTGGTGTCGAGGTTGCGCAGGCGTTGACGAGGTATGTGAATGAGGGCACGACTCTTGGCGCGGTCAATTTGCCCGAGGTTGCGCTGCGCTCGTTGACGATGGATGAGCCCAATCACGCGCGTGTTATCTACATTCATCAGAATATTCCCGGTGTGCTGCGCAAGGTCAATGAGATTATTGGCGATCACAATGTCGACAAGCAGATGACTGATAGCAGAGGTGATGTGAGTGGTCCCAGCCCCGAAAGAAGAAGAAGAAGAAGAAGAAAAACACCCTTCCAAAGAGCAAAAAGTTTCTAACAAATCTACACAGGTCGCCTACCTGATGGCTGATATCAGCAACGTCAACACAACCCAAATTAAGGACCTATACACCAGCCTCGAGAGCCTTCCTTGTAAGTTTGGCCCCTGCTGCCCTCCTACCATGCTACCTGAAAGAATCCACATCCTAATCTAACCAAACACAGCCCGCATCCAAACCCGCATCTTGTACTAGATTTCAACTCGAGCAACGCTCTTCCACTCTAGTTCACGCCCGCTGTAATCAACTACACTCACGTTGGACCCGTCAAAATGACCGGGCTCCATTTTCACGAAATCCTGAACAGGATCCCTTTCAACGAGGTCCTAAATGAAAAGCAATTTCTAAATATTTAAAAACTTATATTATGCATCCGTAAATCGTAGAATGGAATAGAACAAGAACGAACTTCAGCTTGATGTTTTTTGTATTCTTTGTATTTCCCGGAATGACTTGGGGAGTCCTCTGGATTCGGCCCACAGATGGCTGGTATGAACCTTGACGATCTCGGAGCCCGACTTCGCTGTCAGCTCTGATGGTCAGTACTAGGGGGCTATTCCAAGACGCGGCGGTCTATTCCGAGTCTACGGTCCCTAGGTAGGTAAGGGAGACTTCCGTCCAATGCTAGTCTTCCGTCCGTCGGGAGGCTTCCGTCTGTTGGGTATGTATTTTGACCGGGTTTTCGAATAGCGTTGTTTATTGAATTTATATGCTTCATTGCTATACAACTATTACCTAGGTGGTATTGGGATGTAAAGGGCTGGATTGAAGCTGATTTCCAGGGCTCTTCCAACTTGGAAGGTAGGTACCATCTATATATATATTCACGGTGGAGTACACTAACCCCATTTGAATACTACCCTTCAGCCCTGGAGGGCTACTACGAAAGTATTATATAAATTGAAGTTCTAGTAACAGATAAACCAGCACTGTATTTCTATATCAGACAAGGAGCAGACAAGAACAACCTTAAATAGGTATAAAGGTAGCCCAACGAAAATGTATCGAACAAGCTCAACTCAGCCGGACCTCAAGACCTCACAGGTAGAGAGATTCGGCCACAACTCAAACAACCCCAGAAGAAAATAGATTACAAAGCCACATCGAATTGAACAATTGGATATACAGCTCGCATAAATAGATCAAACCAACCAAGATCAACATCCCAAAAGCGCAGAAGAACAGCGCAGCCAATGCAAAAGCCGGAAACGCAGACAAGGATGTGTGCGTGTGTGGGTATTTGGATTCGATCCGATCCGGAGGTATATCAGACACAGACAATGGGAAGCAGATGAAAGAACTTGAATAGTAATGCAAATTCATGCCCCACCACACCACTCCACACCACGCCTATCTCTCATCTCCATCCCCTTGCCCAAGTTGCCTATACTGACTCTGACTAGCACTACTCCCCGTGCGATTCCGGCGAACCATTTTCGAGATCCAGCCGCCGAATCCTTCACCCCGACTAGAGCCGGGCGCACCGGATTTGTTATTGCTGGGACCATCGAAGGACGGAGGATCGATATCGAGGCCTGGAATCGCGCTTTCGGCACCGAATTGGCCGTATGGTCGTCGAATGTCGAGGGATGGGACGGGTGATCCGGCGCCTGCTAGGAGTGAGCCTCGCTCGCCTTCTGTTGCGGGCGTGGGCATTGCAGTCGTTGCGTCGCCGAATAGGACGTCCATGTCTTCTAGACGGACGCCGCTTGTTTCTGGGTATAAGAAGTACACTTGGAGATTGGTTAGGAAAACTCAGCGAAAAAAAAATAAATCAAAAAAATCGTGGAAAGATAACTTACCGAGAACGAAACTACAAGCGCAGAAAAAGGCATGAACTAAATAAAGCCGCCACTTGATAGCGCCCTGGAGAACGGGCGTGACTTCGCCAACAAGCCAATTGAACGCCCAATTACTGGCCGTGCTTAGACTAGCACCCTTGGCACGAATGCTGAGAGGCAGAATCTCCGGGGGATAAAGCCAGGGAATCGGGCCCCAGGATGCGCCAAAGGCCGCGTTGTAGATCATGACAAATATGACCGTCAGTACGGCCGTGGCTTCAATATCGATGTAGATGAAGTATGAGATGCAGGAGAGCGAAATGACCATTGCCACTGCGCCGCATAGAAGGATAGGTCGACGACCCCAGTTATCAACTAGATACCATGGCGGGATAGTGGAAAGGAGGTAGGTAATGCCGTTGATTCCCGTCATGAGGATTGCTGAACGACCGGTCCAACCGGCGGACTCGAACACAAGCGGGGCGTAGTATGAGATCACGTTGATTCCGTTCAATTGGGCCATTGCTTGTGCTGACATGGCGATCAAGACTCGTTTCCAGTAGCGGCGGAACATGTCGGCGTAGGATCGTTCGCCTTCTTGCCGCTGGATGAGGACGTTCATTTTGATTTCTCGGTATTCTTGACGTGCTTTGTCGTTGTGGATATCGCCCTCGCCGTAGAGGTTTGCAATGACTACCATGCCCTCCTCGTCGTGATCGAAATCTAGAAGCCATCTGGAAGGAGTTAGCAGTTAGCAAAGTAATCGCAGTTGGATAGGATTCTAACTGTTCAGGTGAATTTAAACATACCTCGGGGATTCACAAATGACCAGACTTCCAAAACCCAGCAGTGCGCCCATAACGCACTGAACAAGGAGTGGGATCCGCCATGAGTAATTATTGTCGATATAACTACAACCGTAGTCCACCCAAACACTAGTCGCATATCCAGCAATGTTTCCCGTGAATTCAATGCAGGCCAATTGGCCACGATTATGCGGGGGCTAATACAGCGGGCAAAGTCAGCATGGAGTATGACGGAGCCGCATCACGATGGATGGGATGGAATGGACTCTCCACATACCGATATTTCGGACTGGTAGACCGGTACGATGGTAGACAACGCACCAACGCCTAAACCAGCGATAATTCTCCCCACCATCATCATGGCCATGCCCGTCGCAGCAGTCTGAATGGCACCACCGACAAAGAACACCATCGAGCCGTACAGGATGGTCCTCCTCCGGCCGATCAAATCCCCAACGCGCCCCACTAACAGGGAAGATATAAATGCTCCGATCTCGAGGATGGCGACCGCGGTGCCGATGGTGGCTGGGGAAGGCTGGTCAAAGTAATCTCGGAAGTGCTTTCCTCTGCATTGCATTACAGTTAGTATTTGGATATACGCCCGAGGGTCGCGTTGGAAGAGGGTCTGCGCGTAGGGAAGGGATAATACGGACGTGATGATTCCACTCATAACACCCTGGTCATAGCCGAATAGACTACGGGATAAGTCAGCCTTGTCAGTATAAAGTCAGGGATATACATACAAGACGCCCAGCGATACGAAGACGCTGGTGAAGTATCTACGAGCTAGTCAGTTCATGCACATTCAACAGAGAGCGAGAGCGAGAGTTGACTCACAGTAACGGCTTGCCGACCAGGCCATGGATATGGGCAGCTCGCCCGTTACGGGGAGACATGATGGCGGCAAGGACCCGTTCAATACGGGAGATCTGTCGTGGAGGGGGATTCGGAATGGGGATCTTCTCGAGGTTGAAGTTGGAGTTGGAGTGGGGATGTCGTTGATCGTCAAGCTGTGAAGAGGAAAAGTGGACCCGCGGTTGGTTCCGACCACGATGACCCCCGGCAGAAGCTCACGATCCACGGACTTGCGGAGATGAGATCGTGAATCCTCGTGAGCAAATTGCTCGGCGAGATCGCCGGTATCTGACCAGACGGAGAGATCGGATGATGAACGATGGCTGCCTTTCTCACTGGCGGATTCTTGCTCGTCTAAAATGGTAAAGGATGGGGAATTGGGGAGAGATCGGAGGGGAATGGCGGGGGAAGTTGGAGAAGGAATGTTGGCGGTATTGCAGGGTTGAACCCTTGGGAAACCTTCTGATGATGGAGAAGCTCTAAATTATCCTTTTTTTTTCACCCTAAGGGTGCACAAACGGCGTGACAAAAACGTGGTCGATCTCTCGAGAGAGCCCAAATGTTGCCTTGCCACGACCTCCCTCTCTGGGGTAGGCTCAAGTTCTTAGTAGCGAACGCCACGCGGCAGGGTCACCACAAGGGAAAGGGGGGGGCTAGAGAGTCACACAGCACGATCGACGCAGTATGACGGAGTTGGATTCTGGTTGGAGGGCTAAAGTGGATGGTGTCAGGTGGACATGGACGAGCGGAGGTTGTCGATAGGGGGTGGTGAGATGTGGAGGACCATGAGAGGTGAGTGAGAAGTGAAAGTTCGTAATGTACAGAAGGACGTGTTTGACAAGGTACAGATATGTACAGATATGAAGAAGGAGAAGAGGAAGGAGATGAAGAAGGATAGAAGGTCGATTTCAAGCCGCAGGGCAACCACAAATACGGGGGGTCACTGCCACATCCGGCGATCCACAAGTGGAGTGATCCACTTGACAGTTGAATACCCCAAGATATTAACATAATTATGAGTACGGAGTATATACGGAGTGCATATGGACATAGTTATATCTAGCTGGCACTACTGTCGATTTTGTTTATTCTGTTGACTTCATAGGCGCTATTTTACTTCATAGTGTCTACACTACACTACATTACACTGGGCGACCACATAACCAGTTCAATCATTCATATCTATAGGGTATCTTCAATGCAAACCAGCTACAAATCTATCCGAGAAAAAGAGCCAACCAAATAAAATGTACATCCCCCCCCTCAATTCAGCAAAATATCATACCCATCACTCCGAATATGCACCGCATCATCCAAACTCGCATACCTTCTCCTCACCAATTCAAATATAATCAACCCTGCACTGGTACTAGGAACCTGCCGAATCGCCGTAGAAAAGAACCCCCGGAAGAGCCAGGGCCGCCACCCACCCGCCCGCGCAGCCTTGCGCGCACACCGTTTATACGTCTCCTGATACGCGTGGTAATAGAGCCGCATCATCTGCCGCCGCGACGGGTCCAGACTAGCCTGATGATCCAAGTACTCCAACCGGCCTAGATGCAGGTCCTGAATTACGCCGATCGGGTGCTGAATGACCTGCTGTGCGACCGAGGCGGTCACGCCGGCTAAGAGGAGAAATCCTGGTTCGAGCGCGTAGTGTGGTTTGATCACAGGGACGCCCCGGTCACTGGATGTGGAGGTGGAGAAGGGGATACGTTCGATGTGTTCCGGGTGCAGGGCTCCGTAGTACCATGTCACGAAAGAGTAGTAGGACTGCGACTTGACGTATTCAAATGTGGAGAAGAAGACGGCGTAGCCGAATGAGTCTCGTAAGAAGGAGAGGCCCCATCCGGCGAATATGCCCCGGAGCCCGATTTGCTTGAGCTTGTGGTGGCCGTAGTGCCACATGCTTCGGTATTGGCCTTCCAGGAGGTCGCTGGTTTGCATTCGGACTTGCAGGGCGTCGAGCGGGGCGGCGACGATTGACTGGATCGTGCCGGCTGTGAATCCCGCGGCGAAGGTCGAGGAGGGAGGGGCTGGGGGCCAGACGCGCTTGGCGCCTTGTCGGACGGGCTCGTGGAGGGATCCTAGGACTTGGAGGTAGGATGTGTAGAGGACGGCGCCGACACTATCACCTCGGAAAAAGTGTTAAGTTGGCTTCCAGGATGCATATCAACAAGAATAAACAGGAAGGAAAAGGGGAACACCACTGAAACCTCATTCCTTCCTGCTGTAAAGCTTTCCACTCACCCTGCATTCGCCATCAGAGGAGGCAAGACCTGATTAGGAATAAACTGCCACCCATACGTTTTAACCGCATGAATCAACAACCCCGGTGTCGTGGTATGAATCGACCATTTCCCATCCGCAACCCGCGGATTCACAGCCCGGGCAAGCGCCATATAGTCTACCCTCGCCCGAAAGAAAGCTTTGATCGGAGCTCGGAAGTAAAAGGCGACGAACTGGGCGCTGAGGGCGCGAACACCGGCCGCGGAGGCACCGGTAGCAGCATCGTTGCGCGGTTTTCGAGGTTGTTTGCGGGGTATTGAGATCAAGTCATCTCCGAGGACTGGAGAATAATTCTGGCCCTATATAGAGGGAGAAGAAAGCCATTAGCAAGGTGGACCGGATTTCTCGAGTATTTCAAGGCGGAGATCAGAGCTGAGCGGAACTTACTCGGCGTTTCCCGTCGATAGAAGTAGCGCTGGGATCGGAATCGATGGCTTTACTATTATCCTGCCATGAGCCCGTACTGTGCGAGTCCGCAACTTGGGAGTTCTGCCCGTGCGGAAGGACCATTTGCTTCCTCGTCGAGAGACGGAGTCGAAAGCTAAGCCGAAGTTGAAGCCGAAGTCCCGACCCGATTGGGATTATATAAGGTCACGTGAATCACAGCCCGATATACTTCAGTCTATGTCAACAGAGGCCTGACTAACTATATAGAAGACTATCTAGTAAAGATATAGTACCAGAATAAGAACTATATATAGATTAAATGATCATGTAGAATTTAGGTGTAGTCTATAATAGCATTTCTTTTCTAAATAGCATACATAATACCCAAGCCGATGCTCATTGACCCCATGGCCTTGTGGCTAAGGCATCCGTATCCTATTTACATAAACAATATTATTAGTCAGCGGAAGATCAGGCGTTCTAACTGCCCCAATATCGTCTTTGTCTGGTACATCTTTCAGCATCATTTTCAAAATGCGATGGTGAAATTCGATGGGAACCTGATCCTTATCAGTCTACAACTTGCGAAAATGAAGCTTGCATAACCCTCATAAAGTGTCGTCCTAGGGTTATCCTACCTTCCTAGGATACTTGCGTAGTCGATAAGATAAGCAGGATAAACCTTAATCCGAGATATCATTTTGTCGCATCCGGGGAACATTGAACATCTCTAACAATTGCCTTTGAAATTACCCTTTCTTTGCATTTCTTTTTTTTCTCTCACTCGCTGCAAACACAATCGCAAAGGATGCGCACCTCCCCGAATGTAATCGTCACCGGCACCCCGGGCGTCGGCAAGACTGTTCACTGCGAGCAATTGGCGCAAGACATCGGCCTGAAACACCTCTCCGTCAACCAGGTTGCCAAGGAGCGCGATTGCTACGAGTCATATGACGAGGAACGTAAAAGTTGGGTCGTTGACGAGGATAAGGTATGGCTTTTTGTTTCCCCTCCCTTTGGCCATGCTCATGGTGGTCGTACGCGACTTTTCTTTTTCTTATCCACCCCCACTTCGCTTTGGCGGGGTTGCCATTCATGAATTTGAAAAAGCAGTTGGCTAATTGGTTTTTTTTTGGGAAATAGTTACTCGATGCTATTGAAGATGAGGTGCTTCAGGGTGGATACTTGATTGACTGGCACGCTTGCGATATGTTTCCCAAGTCCTGGATTGATCTTGTTGTCGTGATTCGCTGCCCCGATACAAGCGTCCTCTATGATCGTCTTTCTTCCCGGTAAATATACTCTCCCTCCCTCCCTCCTTCCCTCCCTCTCCATTCGAGTTACTCTGCGTCTGGATTGGCTTGGGCTAATCAATTTTCAATTTTCCTTGCAGAGGCTACCACGAAGAAAAGCTGCAAGAGAACCTCGACGCCGAGATCTTCGGCGTTCTCCTCGAAGAAGCGCGCGAATCGTACGACGAGGAGATCGTGGTGGAATTGAATAGCGAGAAGGACGGCGATGTCGAGAGCAATTGCAGTCGCATCTCGGATTGGGTCGATTCTTGGAAGAAACAACATGCCGAGGGAGAGGAGTAAGAGTAATTAGAGTGGTGGATGGTTTCGCTTTGCATGCATAGGGTGATTTGTATGGTGGAGTTCCGTTTCTTGGATTTTGATTTTGTTTCTGATTCTTGTTTCTTCGTCTTCGTCGTCTATCATCTCGATTTCGCTTTGGTCTTTCGATTGGTCTTTCTATATACCCATACCAATATCATACCAATGCCCATACCATACCATGCTATGCTCATTCCCGTACCCATCATAATCATGCTTGCGGGTTTCCGAGTCTCCTTACTCCTGGCCCTCTGCCAACCACTCCTGGAATTTCACCAGAGCCTTGTACCGGTGCGAGATCTTGTTCTGCTTGTGTTTTAGCATGCCTTCAGTGTGTCTGGATGCGGGAAGGAGAGGCTTCTCTCTTTCTCCATACCTTAGCTTCCTTGTCCATCTCAGCATAAGTCTGCCCTTCATATTCGAAGATTGGGTCCCAGCCTTAATTAAGCCCGTCAATACAGATCCAAGAAAATACCAAGCATGCAGCGAAACTCACCGAAATTAGTCGGACCACGAGGACGAACGATTTTACCCTTTATATATGTTAATTGCAATCGAGACCCAAAAATGACTCGTCTCAAACTTACAACAGTCCGACCCTGGAAGATAATAGGCTCCTCCCCAGGGCCGCGGCAGAAAGCAAAAGTGCAAACAGCCTCAGCACCCCGGTCCTCAAAGCCATCGAGCATCTTGTTCAGACCTTCATGGCCGAGTGATTCCATGAACGATTTACTTGAGCGAACAGCAACATTAGTATCAAGCGATTCGATTCGACTCGGCTCAGCCCATCGAGGTAAAAATATAAGGGAACCGGATTGCTCACATATATGGACCGGGCAGTCCCTTAAGAGCGTGGAATTCCAAGGCCGTGTCCTCAGTCAAGGCGGGCCCGTTGATCTGATCAGAAGAATTAGTCTACTTTCTTGTCCATTTCTTCCCGTTAATTTTCGGGATTGAAGGAGAGGGGGCAGGTACCGCTTCAGCAGCGCGCTTTGCCTTCTCTTTAGCGATTTCCTCGATCGTGCCTTGGATCTCAGGAACGTCCACTTCTTGGTTGTCGACTTCGATCACGCTGCCGAGGATAGCGCGGACCTCGATCAGCTTGTTCTTGTTGCCGGTGATGAAGTTGACCTTAGTCAGAGTCATGATGGCTGTTGTGTTGATATGAATGGGGGAGGGGGGATATGTGAAGAGAAGACTAGGGTTTGAGTTGCGGCGGGATGCTCCCCACTCCGCTTGATTTGATTTTGGCTTCCCCGCAACGCGAACGCCGACAGGGACACCGCTCGACGACTGCCACTGATGACGATGCCCAGCTTGGCTATGTTGGGCATGGAATAACTACAATAGTAACATCAAATGCGACGCCATTCATGAAAACAATGGGGAAAGAGATAAAAAAATCATAATTCGCATAACTGGCAGAATCATATGCATCTCTATGTATCAACTCAAATCAGACCAGGGTCAACCCCAGGTGTAAGATAGTTTCGTGGTGAGATGTTCACAGGTCGTAATCCGTAGCTCACAAAGGAAAATCCAACTCTAATGTACAACTAAATCACTCCTCTAACACCCCGTTCTCTATCTCCAGTTTCTCTTGCTGCGCCATAGCCTGGGCCGAGACAATCTCGGCCAATCGCTTCAATCGCGGGGTTTGGAGCCCTGTGAAGAATCTAGTTAGTATGGTCTCGGTGTGATGGGGTCGATTTCAGGTCGGGGGTGTTTGGTCAACATACAGGATGGTGTGTAAGTCTCCAGGGCAGTGATAACTCTGGGCTCGGCGATCTCGTAAGGACCACTATCCTCCATATCGACCGGAGTCAAGAGGAGCACGTCACTCTTCTCCGTGACGCGGGAGGCGACCGCCTTCATAATCTCGCCGTTGATGGGCTGTTCGTAGTCCGCGACGAGGTACTGGTTCAGCAGCTTCTGAATTTGATTGGGCGACAGCCTAAAAGGGATTGTCAGTACGATGGTCTCAAAATCAACAATGCCCTAGAGGATGTGATATGCTTACATCCAGCAGATATCTTGAATGATCTCAATATCATTCAATGTAGCCTTCTTGAGCTGAAGAAGCTTGGTTGCTTGCTGTTAGAATGGTTAGTATAAGGTCTCGAACGTCACAAAGGCAAAGGGCAAGTAAGAAGTCATACCATCAAGTGCTCTAGCTGCAGCGTTCCCAGAGGCATGTCATGGCTCTTGCACCACTCCTCAATCCGGGTGATGTTATAATTGATTTGGAGGCCACGCTTCCATGACAGGAAGTTGCGGCGCATGAGCAGGTCGTTAAATGCGGTGACACCGACCAGGCGCAGCAGCTCGGTCATGGTCTGGGTGACGATGGTGTCCTCCAGGTAGAATGCCTTCATAGCCCGGTAGACACCGTTGAGCAAGCTGAGGAGGTTGTCCATGCTGTAGGCGGGGTTACTGTTGGATGGAAGCAACTTTCCAAGGAAACGGTTTGTTTCGCTCGTCACAAAGCCAGGAAGGGACTGCGACTCGATAATGGCCGGGACGATCATCTTGTACAGCTTCTTCTTCAGGACCTTCATCCAAGTGTGATAGATGTTGAACTCAAGGCTCTCCAGGTCGTGCTTGACGATCTCCAGCAGACGATCGTACTCGTAATTATCGGTCTTCTGGGCCTCATACCAATCCTCAGCCAAGAAGACGAAAGACAACATCTCGTGGACATTAGAGAGCCAGAAGGCGCCGGGGTTGACCGCATCCTCTCCCTCGTGCTGCATGACCTCCTGTTGGATAGACTGCATCACATTGGCCAAGAAGCGCTCGGATTCCTTGACGAATCCGTTGTTCCACATCTCCGACGTAACGAGGTTGATCAAGTACGCAGGGAAAAGAACCTCCTTCTCTGTCGGGGGCGGGTTTGAGCTTGGGAGAGGGATCTTGAGATTGCGGATCAAGCCCATGGCAACCTCCTCGTTCAGGTCTTCTTCCTCGGACAACAAGTTCTCGAGCTCTACCTCCACCGAGTCCAGACCAGGTGAGGTGGCAGCGGCATTGCGAACAGCGCCAGGACCGGAGACAGCCATCGAGACAGGTCGCGGGTTGTACGCTCCACTGAACCGATCCGAACCAATCTTCTCCGCGCCAGCGCTCCGCCTCTGTGGCTTGGGCTTCTTCGAAGATACGAGGTTGATGAGACCGGTGGCAGGAGCAGGTACAGCAGTGCCATGTGTCGCATCGCCATTGATGCCGTTGACAGGCATCGTTCGCTTGGCAACCTCCAGCTCCTCTTCGAGCTGGGAAACACGGACACGAAGACCAGTCTTCTCCTCCTCCTGCTCCGCATTGATGAGCTTGAGGCTGTCTAGCTCCTCCTGGGCCGAGTGAAGCTCCTCGCGGGTTTTTTCCCACTCTTTCTGGAGGCGCTTGACGGTTTCCTGGTTCTCGGCGTAGGTAGCCTGCAACTTGACGATCTCCGTTTCCAACCGGACAATGTTATGATCAGCCTGGTTTTTCTCTGACAGAAGCGTCTTCTTG